CGGCGGAGCAGGAGGGCTGGCAGAGAGAGGATGGAGCTCTGCCCTCGCACAGCCACCAAGGATGGCAGGGGGAAAATGCTTCCAGTGGAGCGGGGGCTTAGCAAACTGGTGCTCCTGCTTTGTGCAAGACCCAGGAAAGCACTCAGCTTCCCTAAGGAGAAATGGAGTGTTCTTGCCAGCTTCATGGCTGCGAAATCAGTCTCTGGGAAATCTGGGGTTTTTTTCAGTCTACCTGGCTGCAACTGCCTTTTCTCCCCACCTACATGCAGGTTTCTTTCCAAACTGGTTCCTCTCATCAGCTAGAAGTTTGTAGAGGAGGTTCTGAGATACAAAATCTCGGGAAGCTTTAAATGGATTCAAAATCTCCCTAGTCTGGTATACCCAGTGAATGATATCGCTTCTCTGGAAGTGTATCTGAGATGCTGTTAGTCCTTCAGAGTTTATAGATTAATGGGATCAGCAAAGAGACAAGGAAGCAGGATTGTCGAAATGAGTTTTGTGACATCAGGTAGACAAGTTTCTGCCTGATCCAAGTCAGGCTAACCCTTAAGGATAATGTCATGCATTTGAAGAGGTTCTTTTTCGTGCTGATCAGCATCAGAGAAAAATATAATCTGGAGGTCTGAGTTTTGCAGTACCCCTGTGAAAAGGAAGTTTCTGCAAATAGCAAGAGACCTGATGAAAACTTTCCAGATATTTCCTATTCAAGCACCAGTCAGGTATTATTTCTTCCAAGCATGAATTCTATTGCCAGAGGATGCAAGTAAGTGGTCTGTCCCCAAAAAAGACATAAATAGCACTTAGGAAGCACAGAAATATCAAAATATTTCCCAGTTAATAGCTGTTCTTTTCTCAAGCACAATAATTTAGAGGTAAAGAGAGGAAAAAACCCAAGAGGCTTCTTGGCTGAGGCTATTACTGAGATTTAAAATTATAATAACGGGAATCTATTTTTAATAAACTGCTACTGCAATGTTTATTGCAGTTAAGAATAATTGTTATGATAACTCAATTTGTGGTTAATATTTTTAAAATAGAAAAGAGAAACATTATTACAAAATTTTTTTAACCTCTACAATTATCTTCCACTTTTTTACATTACAGACTCTTCGACAGCACAGCGGGAGGTAGGAAGAGAGTATATTTCTTTCCCGTTTCTGTCCCACCCCGTTTCTGAATGCAAGATTTGAATGACAACTTTGGAGGACGAAGGACTGACTCATTTGTCAACCTCTCAGGTAAACTTTGGGTAACAACTGTTGAAATTTGCAAAGCAAATTTGTTGAAATTTGAAAGCAAGGGAACAATCAGTGACATGAGCTGGGATGCCCTCAGAAACTCACAGGGAGGTCTTCTGAAGGCAAGCTTCAGGTGGTCTAACATTTTGCTTTCTCATACTAAACACTTATGGTAGCAACAAGCTAAGAAATAAGTGCTGTAATAGCTCAGTCAGTTATGGCTGACAAAGTCTTCACCAGTAAACTCCATCATTACCTTTCTCGAGTAAAGTTGCAGCCTTGCCATTGGGTAGATTAGTTTCAAAATGTCCCATTTATCAAAATAACTTCTTGTTACTTTCTGAAACTGTCTTAAAATTGTTGGGGATTATTTTGGAAATCAAATACTACTTATTGTAGACTCCTAAACGTTTATTGCAACCATAAAAGTTGCAACAGGTGGCATTACAGGCAGTTTGAAAGGTGAGATCAGAAATTAGGAAGGAGGAGGCATAAGTTATTGAAAGTGACATTGTACAAGAAAGAGATCGAGTTGGAGGATAAGAAAAGCAAAGCACCATGAGAACAGGTAAACGTTATCTTGAAAGAAAAGACTGATTGAAGGAAGAATAAAGATGTGCTAAAGAAGCACAGTCAGTGTTTCATCTCACATGTTCTCATCTATTTAATCTAAATACCTTAACTTTTTTATTTCTTCTCCATATTCCCAAATGTAGAATTACTTTAATTAATTGTATTTGAATTATTATTTACTTCCACAGATTTTCTGAAGTGGTGGGTGAAAGAAGAAAGATGCCCAGTAAGTCCTTCTTCACTGATTTGAATACTAAAAATATCAGTCTGTCAGCTACTACTGAAAATTCTTTCCACCCATATGTTTTGTTTAAAGTCTTTCATAAAGTAACCTTTAATAACATATTCAAGATTTATGGGCCAACATTCAAGTTGCTCCACTGGAACACTCAATTTTTTTCAAAGTATTGAAATTACTAATAACTAATTATCGGTTTCATAATATATTTCATTTCCTTCTGCAAAGGAAAGCTAAAGCTAATCAAGAAAAGCAGGTAAAAATGCAAGTCATTTAAACCGACAGAGGTAAAGATGGCTACAAGTCTGTAATTCCCTACAGGGGCTCTGATGATGTTCCAACCCCAGAAGCTTTAAACTCAAGCACAGGGACCAAATTTTGGTGCTGTATGCCCTCAAGAAAATCATCTTTATATGGAATATATTAGAATATTTCCAAATACTAAATATGCATAAATAATGTATTTGGGACATGAAAGGAAGAGAGTAAGCTATTTGTTAAAGAAATGATAAAAAATGTCTATTGACTGACTGGAAGGAGAGGGCTGCGATTTTGACTTAGCTGTGAATGCAGATGCTTCCCTTTAGCAGAGCAAGGACAAATATTTATCTTACTTTTTCGAGTTAGAAATGAAAATTATTTCTATCTTTATCTATTTCTACAGCTCCTGGGTTTGTGGTTCTACTCTGTCACTACATAGAAATCAGTCATTTCTCTCACTATTTGATTTTCTACTTACTTTCCCTCTTATCTGTCTGCATGATACACTAATTTCCTGCCTTGTGTATTATAACTTTCTACCTTCTGCTTGGTCTTCTTCTTCTCATATTCCTCTTTTAGCTTTCTCTAGCAAAAACTTTTATGCTTTATTTTCAGTGTCAGGTGCTGCTTTTGAATGACTTTCCTGATACCACCGTCTAGCTTTCATTCCTCTTTCCTCACAACAACTGCTTTTCCATTTATGGTGTACATTAAGCAAAAGACCATAGTTTATTCATTACTCTTTTTTACATATATGAGCACTACTGATTACTTTCTGTGTACATAAGCAGCCCCACCCACACTGGCAAATGTATACACTAAATTATAATAAAATAAAATAAAATAAAATAAATCATGTTTTCAAACAGCACACAAATATAATTATGCTTTTTTCCTATCTGAATCCTCCTCCATGGTGTCACGTCATGTAATCTGTAACAAAGACTGACAAATATTAAGAGAAGACTTTATAATATGTTTGATCTCAGAGTACCACAAATAATCTACCTACGCTATTGTGCACTAGGGTATCACTCGAAACAACATTCTTTGTGAGCTAGAAATTTGATTGAGCTCTATAGATGGATGTCCTGCAGGCACCTTCAGTCAGTAAGAAGTTGGAATAGGTTTAAATGTGTCTGGTAGAAGGTAGAAGGCTCCATATCCCTTAAGCTATTGCACTGTCTTCATTTTCTCCATTTTTTATTCTCCCTCCTTTAGATAATCCTAGTTTGCTATTAGGAGATGTCAAAGAGAGAGTATAACAGCTCAAGAACACCACTGAAGTGTTATATGCTATTATTGACATGATGCTACGAGGCAGAAAGGATAGTACATCTTCTACAATCTGTCTTTATAAACTGTTCTGATAGCAAACCTTGCACTCAAGCACAAAGTATTGCTGTAAGACACATTTTATCGGTGGTTTGATTTGGAGTTGGGCATATGTACCCCATATGCTCTTATTTATCCCAGAAGGATCTATTGCCTGATGGCTGCAGCGGTAGAGGAGTGGATTTGATGGCCTAGATGATCTCTTTCTGTTCCTAAATTTCCAAGTTCTTAATTTTTCTGTATATAGGAGAATATACTCAAATGCTGTACTAGCTGGGACAAAAAGCAATTATCTCTGAAAGTAGTTACAGGATCTATTGTGCGCTTCCTTTCTTCCTTGCGATACACCCTCTCCTGTTGAGCAGCCTAGGCATGGGGTATAATGCTCACCCCAAGGACCAAAATATTACTCTAACGTCTCACCTGGCCGATGCGCCTTTGGAACTGCCATGTTCATCACTCGCCCTCCGTCCTGAGGTTTAGGGGGGGATGCGGTAAACCTGCAAATCCCCGACTCCGACGGCGTGCTTGAGGTCAAGCTGTCTGTGTAGTCATTAGTCCCTGCCGTGAGCTGCTCCGACGACGTGTCTGATATGAAGCATTCGGTAATGGTGAACTTGGCATGTCTCAGCTGCTCTTCCATTTTTGCATGCTCATACGCTCTCGCTAGCTCTTCATATGTGGAGGAGGCACTTTCTGTAGAGACCATGCTGCTTCTTGCTCGATCTAAACATCACAAATATAAATAATGGGAGAAAGAAAACATCTGCACAACACTTTTTGGAAGAAAAGCTATGAACATGCTAGTATTTCTTACTAAAATGCAGAGCCCTCAAAATTATCAAGGTGATTTAAATTAGTCTGCTTCAATACAAATGTCCACACAATTTTTAGTTTAGTCAGTATGTGATGATTACAGATAAACTAAAGTGAAATCTTACTCTGCTAGCAGCATTATGTGGCTTCGCATTAAATTCGTGGTTTAGAAGAAATAACCTTTACTGCATGAAACGGATTACTGTTTTTTTAACAAAAAATAATTTCTCTAAAAAGTTCAAATGCCTTAAAAATGTTAGAAACCCACAAAACAGATTTAGCAAAATGAGGAACAGCTTCTTTACGTTATCTTTTTAATGCATCTCAGCAATATTTCTGTGAGGTGATGTCTAGGTAAGAAAGGAGAGTCTTTCTGTACATCTTTCAATCTTAAATCTTTTTTTGAGAAAGCCCTGAGGACAAAGGTCAGGGCAGTGTCTCAAAGGCAGTGTCTCTCAAGACATTGTGTCTGACTGTCTGAGACACCAGGTACAATACTAACTCATCTCATACGGAAAAAAAGTCTCAAGAAAGCGATATTGTTTGGTAGTTACCAGCCTGCAATCATTCAGGTGTGTTTTTCAATGCTGCTGAAGCTAATGAGGGCTTCATATTTGACACACAGGCTATTATGACCTACAAGCTGTTCTTTTCTGCTGATGAGTTTCTGAGAGTATCAATATTTCTTAAACAGGCATTATTATTGAATATGTAAATGGCTACCGATATATTAAAAAGCCTTCTGGAAATGCATCACACATTTCTGCGGGGACAAACCACTGGCCTGTTGCACCCATCACACTTCTACGTCAGTGGGCTGGAAGAGTAGAGGACTTACAAAAGTTCCTTGGGCAGAAGTCATGTTTCATCACAAGATCTGTACAATTTCAGACAATAAACAGGCACAATGTAATAGCTAATTCACAAAAATGGGACTCCTATAGCAGCCAGAGGCAACTGTGTTGTTATTGCAAATCTTTATCTTTTTTATTGTGTGCTAGGATCCTTGCATCAGTTTTCATTGTGCCCAAAGAACAGCACTCCTGCCACTTGTAAATAGGGCCATGCATTATTTAAAACGACAAGTACTTCTACAATATGCTGTAACTTGCTTAAGATTTTGAGCTGGCCAGAACTTAAACAAGGCTAGCCCCTGTCCCAGGAAACATCATTCTGGTTTTCACATTTGATTTGTAAATCAGACCAAGATGTCTTTCCAAATTTCTGATCAACTGGAAACTCCTGGAAGACTACAATATTGCCCAGTGCCATAGAGCAGTGTCTGTAAATAATGACGGTCATGCAAAGGTCCCAGTTTGGTCCATGAAGCTCAGAACCTGCAACTTCATATCCCATGCCCTGGGGAGACTAATCCAGGAAGAATCTGCTTGGACACCGACTTTAGATTTGATGGAAGTTCATTCAAGTCCAGGGTGAGCTTGATGAAACGTAGATTCATCAGAAAATTTTGAATGGCCTCTAGTTAGAACATTTGAACTTAGTTACAGTTAAGAACTCCTGCAATACATTTCTCCTAAGCTTAAAACCTACTACTTTGTAAACTTGGAGTTGTTTTGATAAGAAGTACTAAATTCTGCCAAATATCAACTGCATCAACTAGATTCGGAAATCTGAACTCCATATTGGATATGTGCACATTAGTTCAATTGATTCTTGAACACATAATTTGGTTACATCTATCATAATGTCTATTTGGAAATTTTAAAATTCTGAAGTACTTGGTCTGAACTGACTCTATTCTTTTCCCAGAAACCACGTGGCATAATAGAGCTACATTTTGGCACAGGAAAACCTTTCCTGAGCATGATCTAAAGCTTGCTATCCCTTACATAAATCTCTGTGTGTTCAAGGGTAGACACAGGGGAGGGAAGTAGCCATGTTAAAACATAGATTATGAAGTCTATTTACAAAATTGCACGTAGCTTGTCATAAAACCATACAGCAAATTGAATTCTCTGCCCTTTGCCACTTGCACTGGACAATATCCTTAGGTAACAAAATGTTAGAACACATGCAAGAGCACCTGAAATCTGGAATGTCTATAAAAAGGGTTTCCGAGATAACGTTTGCTATTTAAATTGGCACCTGTACATCTATTAGAGTTAATCCTTAAAGTCTTATGATAACTCTACCTGAAGAAATTAGGATGAAGTTTATCAGCTGCCTAGAGGTATTTATTGAATGCCATTACCCTATGGAGACAACACAGGGGTCTGCAAATTTAAGAGGATGAATTGTGAAAAGATGAGAACTCCAACCTATAAATGTAAGGGAAGTCAGATGCTTGTTCTTATAAAGACAATAAAACCAGTCATACTGGTTTTCATGGTGAAAGGCCAGTCAGCCCTACTGCTTTGTAGGTCTAACACATAGCTTTTTCACGTGACAAACACTTTTCCCCTAAAATCAGGATAGAAGGTAGGCAGTTCCTTTTGAGGAAGCCAGAGTAAGCTTCGATTTGCGTCTGTCAGGCATATCTTTGAATAGTATTTTATCTTTCTTCATATTTAACCTTTATTAGATTTCTTTCGTGACTATTCTTCTGCTTAATCATTTACTCCTTTATTTGCCTTTTTTTTGGTCACTTGTTCAGTGTAGGGCAGAGGAGAAAGCTTTTTTTTTCCTGGTTACAATTGCATTTATAATATGAAGACATCAAGAAGAGATGACAGCTGCAGGCAGAATATGTATTCAGTGTCTCCCTATTTACCATCTAGAGGAATAAAACCTATGCTGTTTTTCAGGAAAATCAGAGCTAGCTGCTGCAGTATTCAGTGATACGACTGGATTTTGACTTGGACTTCAATTCCAGATTTTTCCCTCTCATTTTTCCCACTTAGAATAAACCCTGTGAACATACTACATGAATGTGAAAAGGAAAATACAAACCTCAATGTAGCTCAACCTTAAAACCACTCCACCTATGACTCAGGCATACTCTTAGGTGCTAATGCTGCCACTTCCTGGTCAATGCCATTTCATGCAGCAAATTCTCCTACTTTTTCCTTCAGACACAGGAAATACAGCGCTTTGGCTACAGGAAAAATTACCACCATGTCTTTCAAAGGACTCCAGTATGCGTGTGTGGCATGAGAAACCACCAGCACAATATTTCTTATCATTAGCACTACATGCATTTGTGACACTCCTTATAAATAGCCTACAGAAAAATGCCCTAGCCAGAAAAAACCACTGACGCTAAAGCACCAAATGAAGTACATCAAGGACCAGGCAGGCTACTGCAGGTACCGCTGTCGGGTTTTCACGGCGCAGCCCTGCAGAGAGCCCCGTACCTGTGTCCTGCGAGGGGCTGACGCTGTAGCTGTCGCTCTCCTTGTCCACCGACCCCGCTGGCCTGGGGGTGGGCAGCCTCCAGTCTGTGGTGAGGGTATGAGCCGATATGGTGGGGTGAGGTCTGTTGAGGGTCCACTGACTGGCGTAGCGGTTGCGAGCGGTGGGTCCGGTTTTGGCATTCCGCCTTGTGGTAGGATCTGTGATGGAGAACAAAGAGGATCTTTGCCACGAGGCTCTTGGATTGATAAGGAAACAAGCTCTGTCAGAAAAGGATGGGCAATGAAATCATGCTGGTTAAAAAACCAAACCAAAACATAAAACATTCTTTGTGGGGAAAAAAAATGAACCGTGAAAGCGCTGTTCATTACCAAACTGTTAACACTTATTTGAAATATTCTCTTTCTAATGCAACCATACATTTTTAACTGAAGAGCAGAGAGCCCCACCAATCTCCCACTGACATATTCATTATTCTTTACTCCAATATAAGCAGTTCCCCAGTACTAAAACCACTTTGAGATGTGAAAGAGCACGAGGCAAGTAGATCTGGTCACGAATTTCACACCACATCTCAAGCAAAGTCTAAGGTAAATTATCAGTGTAATTGTGCCCTCAAAACACCCTACACCTGTGGGTACCTCCTCTCAGTTTGTAAAAACATGTGCTCATAAATGTGGTGATATAATTTCCTATTCTGGACATTTTACTAATACTTTCACTATATTATGGTATTAACCAGCTACAGATTCCTTTTTTTTTTTTAACAGGTAGCCAAGACATAAAACATAACCTGTAATAGTGCCATCAGCGTTTCACTAGGAACAGGTTCATAAAGATTTGACTGTTTTAAAAAAAACAGTAAATTAATACATTTTCTTGAACTTTAAAAATAATTTGCTACTTGTTTAAGGTCAGCAATGTTTTATTTTTTATTATCCTAGAGATGATATGGTGACCAAGGAAGTAAAAGTGAACAATCTGCCAAAACTGACCTCCTTAATTTTGTTAATAAATAGTTCTTCTGTAAAAATGAGGCTTGTACTCCCCAACAAAGCAAGTGGAATAGAAAAATCATTATGTGGCAAACAGAAAGTGACTAAATCAGCACTGAAGGATTTCTCTTTGAAGCTTCTGAAAGGATATTACTAACAATAGAGACAAAGGGTATTAGAAATGAAAAATTCAAATCTATTCAAATATTCTTTCACATTCAAATGGTGAAGTTGTCAGTCTTTGAGGTAAGAGACTTTAGCAGATGCAATTTAAAGAAAAAAACAATACCCAGATAATGACTCTGAGCGTTGCTTCTGCCTAAGCATCCCCAGTAAGAATTTATATTCTGATGTTTCAAAGAAACAAGGGATTTATTTACAAATACCAGCTATGGTCTGATCCTTCCTATTTCACATTTTCCCCCTACAGCAGTGGAAAAATATGAAGCCAGTGCCATCAATAATTGATCCTCCTGGTAACGTAACACACAGCCACTTCACATGGGTAACATCCAAAACCTCACTTGGCATGACGTGACCAGCCTGCCAGTATAAACCACCGCTTGTACCAGCTGTGGAAAGTTGGCACGTGGGTGTCGTGTAGCCAGAAGTGAGTCTTGTGCCTGCTGCGAGGGAAGACACGAAGGACAGAAGGAGAGTGCTGGTGGGAAAACTCTCGGCACGGAGCTGGGGCTGCTTGGTCTGGAGAAGAGAAGGATCGGGGGGTCTCATCAATGTGTATGAATACCTGAAGGGAAGGTGCAAAGAAGATGGAGCCAGGTTGTTTTCGGTGGTGCCCAGTGACAGGACTAGAGGCAATGGCCACAAGGTGAAGCACGAGAGCTTCTCTCTGAACATCAGGAAACACTTTACTGTGAGGGAGGCTGAGCACTGGCACAGGTTCCCCAGAGAGGTGGTGGAGTCTCCATCCTTGTAAAAAGTCATCTGGGTATGGCCCTGGGCAGCCAGCTCTAGCTGACCTTGCTTTAAGCAGAGGGGTTGGACTAACCAGTGCCCAGAGGTCCCTTCCAGCCTCAACTTTTCTCTGATCCCGTGACTCTGTAGAGTTTCATCAGCAATTTGAAGGAGGCAGGAGAGCCTGCTGCCAGCATGCAGGAGGTGAGCGCCCGTCCTGCTGAGCATGTGCTGAGCCATAGCTCTGCACCAGCCGTGCTGAGCCTGCACGAGGGATGCTGCAGCACGGACACGGCAAGCTCCAGAGCTGCCTGGGTGATGGAAAACAGCCCACATCTGGTGTCCTGGTTGTTCAACCAGCTCTGCTGTCATATGCTGAGACGTAACTGTAGAGACCTGAGGTGAGCAAGGCAAAGGTTCACGGAGCATACCTCTTTTATAAATAAATACAAAAGAACTAGAGAACAACTTAAGAAGTGCTGTAAGGGAATATTCGCCAGCCAGTGAACACGAGTATGTGCAGACAAGAGGATCCATAACCTCTGAGCCACCCAGCTGGGCACTGCTCACCTCTTCACAGAGAAAGCTGTGATTCTAGACAAAATCTCATAGCCCAGCCTCTATCAAAGCCAAATTAGTGTCTTCAATCTACAGAATACCACCTAAAAGTCTTTGACCCAGCCCTGTGCACTGCTGCAATCAGATCTTTACTTCATAATAAAAGCGATGGTGGATTTCTGTTTCCAAAGCTGAGCTGGACACACATCCTACTCTTATACATGAGTTAAATTAAGTTTAATTTGAAGCAGGTCTCTCCCTGACGTCAGAGGAATGAAGCATATAACTGCACACAGAAAAGGGATTAAGTATGGAAGATGTTGGTGCTGTAAAATGCTGTGGTATGACACAAAGGCAGGGTTGGAAAACAATGGAGACTCCATTTTTTTACCCGGACGCTCTTGATCTGTCAACATGATAAAAATTATAGGATGACATTTTTGCCCTTGGTGAGCAGACTAGCCAGCATCTACGTGAACTAAAGGAGTGAGACAAGAGTGGTACCAGAATGAAAACAAATATCGTATCTTGACTCTTCTAATTCAAATACCGTGACTCTCCATAGAGGAAAAATGGTGGTGCTAATCTAGTCCTCAGGAAGTAACTAACCATATCTTAAAACTGTCAGTGTTAGAAAAGCAGCCAGGTCAAGACTAGAACAGCTATCATTTATAAAGACTGAGGTAGAAATGGGGATGAAATGAAGATGTTTCAAATAATCTGCATTCAAGCAACTGAGCTTTCAGCATTTATGTTCACCGAACTCACCAAGTAAACAAATTCTGAAACAGCCAGAGGATATAAATAATCCAAGAGATTTTAGAAACTGCACACTGTTAGTGAACTACACTTTGGTAATATTCCTAACTCATAAGCATCCCTTCAATCTAGTAAATTTTTTTTTCCATTTGCATATGGAACACATTCATGAGAGAATTAAGAAGAAGGGATTGCAGCAGTATATTAATTTAATCACTATAAGAATAACTCAGCATGAATATATCTGGGAAAAGTAATTTACCATAATAACTGAAACTTTAAATACAACTTTTTCAGAAAAGCAATAATGAGAAATGTATTTCTTGCCTGATGGAGAGGGAAGGAGGGAAGATGTAGTTTGAAATACGATAAAGATTGATCACTGAGAAAAAAATATATTAGATACTAAAAGCCATTAAGCTAATTTACCCAATAAATTCTAGAAATTAAAATCTAGCATGCATTTGGTTTAATGAAAGCCAGGTATGAATTATTTCAAATTACACCTACATTTCAGATGCATATGCAATTTTTACCGCATTGAATCACTAAATGCAATTGTATAAGAAATGTTCTCTGCTGGTCTAAATAGATTTCTCTCAGCTTTCAGATTGAAGAAAAAAACCCCAGGAGGATGCAAATGCAGGAGCACAGTATTCATTTTCTTCTAGCTTTCTGCTCCGCAGATAACATATTCACTTATATGCTCACTTGTTCCTGGCCGGGCATCGGAAACATCCACCAGTGGTCCTGTAGCTTGTGACACAGACTGGTAATGTACTGTGTGGGTGACAGTCAGGGACTTCTGCTTAGACGTCTCTCCAAAGTCAGCGTCAGTGAGCAGAACCGTTGATCTGTCATCTGTAAGTAAAAAAAAAACAAAACCACCCCATCAGATAACGAGTGGCAAATTTTGGGGTTGCCTTCGTAAGAGCTTTACAGTAAGTCCCCAAGCTTATTTTCAGCTGGATGTCACCACTGACGGTGGCAGCTCCCTCTTCTCTGCAGGACTGAAGATGGCTTAGAAGTGTGTACCACAGCGTGGAGCCTCTGGGTGTAAATTCAAAGTTCATAAAAACTAAAGAATAAGTGTAATTTTTATGTCTATCTTAAGCGATTTCACCTTCGAGATGTGCAACTGAGACAGACTATTAAACATCCTTCCAAAAAGCTAATTTGTGTGTAATTATTTTTGGCCCTAATTCCTTCTTTCTCATCTTCCGAACACTGCCCTCTTCCCCTTCATTTTCAGAGAGCTCAGCTGAGCTTTTCAACAACATATTCAATTTATTTCTTTCTATTAACATAATTAGTAACGCCCTCAGTGAAATCACCCATGTCTTCCCAAAAGGAGGTCATTAGGTAACGTTGCTAACCCCCTACCAGTCAGCTTTTTCTCCAGAGACAGAATATTGCAGAAGGAATGGCCATGATCCAAGACTGTTCTTAGGGAGCTGCTTATTTTTAAGCACATGAGTAAAGACATAGTAAGGGCAATGGAACTATACCTGCAGGGCTGCTAAGCATCCCTAAGTCCAGTGTTTTGTTGTTCTGGAAGCTGAGGGCTAAGTCCTACCAGCTCTCTCTGCACTAAATCTCACTACTGTAGGTTTGAAAAAGAAGCTTTGAGGAGCTTTATGCGAATTGTATAAGTTTCTCTCAACATAGTAAGTCCAGCTGACCGTGGGCTTTCCTGCAGCCGCAATGAAAAGTGCAAGGTAAAGCCTGACCTTGAGAAGGACTGGAAGAAAAAGGTGAGTGTTGACCTTTACTGCTGTATGGTTCTGCTGCCTACTGCTCTCCTCTGGGGTAGGATATATTCATGAAATTTCTACACAGATTTTGATCCCTGCAGAAAGCCAGTGCTATATGGCACTTACTTTTTTTTTTTCAGTTGTGATCTCTATTTCTTTGCTCCAAAGAGGAATCTGGTTCACTTGATCATGGAAGGTTTAACAGCAATAAATCTTCCACTAACCTTGTGCTTGCTGAACAACTATTTGCAAGCTATTGGACTTCCTTTTGCATTCTTTGTAGTCTTTTTATCCATTCATAATAGCAGTAGAAGCCACAAGAAGTTCCTGCTATGCTATGCTATATAGCTTTGTAATGTATTTCTAAGGAGAGAGGCAGCAATGGGGTTTCTGTGCATTTACTAGTCAGCAGAGGTTGATCCGCTTCTAAGCGTTCCTGGTTTTTGGGTTTTTTTAACTTGACAAGTCACCATTGAGGAGAACAGTTCTGCACAATAATATAACTAGCATTTTTTACCCAAAGGTGGCCATAAATAGAATAAGCATTACGAAATCAAATTACTCTGTCTCTGGCAAAAGATGAGCTCTTACTCAGGTTGGGAATAAAGCCTCTTGGCAGTAAACTATGCCAAAGACCGCCAAAGTGCCTGCTTATTCCGAGTGCTGTATGGAGAGCTGGCTATTACCAAGGCACTGATCGCATTGCTACAGTTAAGGCATTAATGGTATTTCCAGTATAAACCACTATTGCTCAGCAACTGTAACTCAACAGTAAAAACTGTCTTTAGGATGAAGCCTGGCACAACCGACTGCATCACAGAATCAAACTTTGCGAAGTTCCGATCAGGATTTTAAAAAAAGTCTGTATTTCAGGTGAAGCAGAGGTCTCCTTTTCAAATCTGCAGCACAAGCTGTGAAATCCCCTGAGGTCACCTCTCATTGTCAGACTGACTGCAAGGGTGACAGGGTGTGGGGTTGAAGCACCTTGTCCCTCCACGGTGTGGGCATGGACAGGAGATGCAGAGATGCTGCTCCCAGTTTGCAGAGCTTTCCTCTCCGGCCACGCCATCCCTGGGATGCTGTTATGTTCTCAAGAAGCTGAGAACAGCTTCTACACAGATTTTGATTCAAAAAAGTTAGAAGTTTAACAAGATTGGTCATTCTGGAGAGTCTTGCCACAGTGCGTACCCATACAGTCATGAGATCAGGTTGTATTTTTATTCTGTTGAGATTTCAGACATGTGTTTAAATTATTTGGGAAAAAAACCCGACACCAAATAATTTTTCATGACAGTTCAGCTACGTGCCAGCCACATGAGAAATCTTGTTTTCTGTTGTGTGAAACAGTTTAGATTTGAATTTTGCATAGATACACAAAAGCTGAAAACTGATCAAAATGTTGAAATATCATTTGCTATGAACAGGTGGACACAATATGCAATGTGTAAGTTTTAGAAGTTGGCTCGTGCAAATCTTTAAACAGTGATATTGTAGTTTCAGAATTTCATTTTCCTTATAAGTAATGCCAGTGATGCAGCTGCCTAGTCAAAGGCAAAAAAAGAAATCAAAATGAAAATCATAAAACCGCCAGTCTTCATTTACATTTTCTTCAAGCGGCTCTTTCCACCAGCTTCATTTTCCTAACGTCCTGCTTCATTTTAAATACCATACTGAGACTACCTCAAGTGAAAAATGATTCAAAGGGGAGAAAAAAAAAAATCAGTTTTCAAATGTGGCAAATTACTTCGTAGCTCTTTTTCCTTGATGCGTGGAGTGGAGAAAAGGTGTGAGATAAAGGAAGCCCACCTAAAATGCCTGTTACATTAACCAGTGAAAACAAGCCCAACAAGAGTTTACCAATGGTCTCCATCGTGTCCCTCTCCTCAATCAGAAGCTGTGCTCTGGGAATATCTATGTGCATCCTCAGGGTTTGCTGCTGCTTATTAAGAGTATCTGAAGTCCTGGTGTTCTTGCTACAAATTAAAGAGAAGCAAACAAATTAACATTCAGCCTAAATGCTTGCAAACTTCCTCATTTTAAATCTGTCCAGTTCAAACAAAAAGTAATGTAACCATAATCAGCAAAAATACTCATACATCTTATTTTCCCCTCTTCAGAACAAGTATATGGTATTAATTTATTGCACATGACAAGCAGTTAGATGAATGTAGCTTGTTGAGGGATTTGGTCTATTCTTTATCAGTAGGAATCTCCTGAAAATTTCATACAGTTTTCTTCAAGTGCTGTCACATAATGAAATTAGTAAAAACACTTTGAAAGATGGAGCTTTTCTTTTATTCCTCATGAATATGAGTAAAGAAACACACAGCGGATCAAACAGATTGGTAGGAAGATGATGTCTTGAGTAATTTCTAATTATATTTTTAACTTTTCATTATTTTTCATTAGATAAATTCCAAATATCACTAGAATTGATAAATGAAAACGCAAATTAATAACTAGGGATTCCATTAATAAATTGCATAAATAAATAAAGGTTTAAGTCCCATTGATGTTCCAAGACTAAAATTGCAAATCTTGTTTACATTCATGGATTATTTCCAATTGATTGATGCAATATTCTAAAAAAGAACAGAAACCAATTACTCTATCATCATACAAATTGAAACAATTTCATTTTAAGTTTGTGTAGCAGAAAATGACTTCTTCAATGAGCTGTCTACCGAAAGCAAATGAAAATGGATAGTAGAACTGACTGCTACCATCATTTCTAGTATAGAGCTTGCACCAAGAAACCTTCAGACTGCACTGAGGACCCAGTTACTTTTTGCCCTTTCAGATGTAATTACTCTTTGGAGGAGAGGCAATATTTGCAAACACTTCTTTATGCAGGGAGGCTGAGGAAAGTGAAGACAAATCAGCAAAGTGCTCACACTTCAAAGAGCTTTAATATCCAAGTGGAGGCTCATTTTCTAGTATAAAATGGCTGTAGATCACTCAGTTTAACTCTCCTTTGGCAATGAATTAGTGTTGTTAATGGAATCAGCAGAGGACTATTAAGCTGCTTGATGATAAGCTCACTTCTTCCTTGAGTGGGGGCCACTCCGTAGGAGATTAATGCATATGTGATGAGCCCACATCTCTAGACAATTTGCTTTAATTTCCTGCTGTGTCTCCATGTGAGCAAGACCTAAGTATTGCAGGTTTGGAGGTTCTCCTAGAACCCTTTTTAGGAGGAATTTCCTTATCATGTGGTCAGTAATTCTGCTCCAAATCCAAGAGTGAGATCGGCAAAGCACATAGGTACATCCCTCTGGTTGATTCTCACCTCCTGGCTTTCCCTGCTCTTGTGGTCCACATCATTAACACTATCTATGCACCACAAACTTTAACGTCTCTGTCTTTACCTGGGTGGTTCGGTGGTATGGTTGCCATCACATACAGATGGATAGCTGAAATGCATTTCAACAGCCTACAACTGCTGCCTCATTAATCATTATGGAAGCAAAATATCAGGAGAGTTACCCAAGGGCTGCCAGACTTTTCTCCATATATAATCAGTGCAGAATAGTAGTCACGGTGTCATTAAACACATAAATTTTCAAAGACATTTAGGATCCTAAAATGCAGACAAATTCCACACTGATGTTCTTGGAGTTTCTGCAAAGTCTCTGTGTGGATTAGACGCTACTCTCCTATTCATTTCCACTCCAGTTGCTGAAATGTTAAGAGACTAACATATTATCTGATTGTGAAATACGCTTGAATACATGCCCTTGAAAAGTCAGACTACTTTGGGCTTGTCCAAGATCATAGACCAAACCTGTGATCAAGTAGGAAACTGAATTTCTGAGGTCCAATTTCAACTAATAATCAGTAATCCAATAGTAACAGGCTACATGCAGATACATGCAGAACCTGTGCAATACATAACTGAGTCTAACAAATGCATCATTGCACCCCTCCTCTGCTCACCAGCAACGTAGGAGACAAAGGGATCAAATCAGGCACCTTCCTCAGAGAACGCAGACCCCAGAACCCCAGTGAGAGCTGGAAGCTCTGCGGCAGGACGAACGCTCTACAGTCCTACTATTGCAAAGTACTCGACTGCACAGAAAGTATTGCTTGGACCACAGGGAGCGGGAGGACAGTTCCCCAGGTTTGCAGTTATATTGCTCACCTGCCAAGAGAGAATTCTGAATCCCATTCTTGGCTCCAGGGATGGCTTTATGCAAAATACATGGAAGGTCCTTCAAGCCAGAACTGGAACCCAGGCTCCTCTATATTCAGGAAAATTCCCTACTATGTTTGAGAGTTATGCCTTGTTTTGTGTGATCTCTTTCCTCCTCCTTACTGGTCTAATTAATTCTCCTGTAGGCAGCAGCACGGTGACATGGGCTGTCCAAACACAAACCAGGCAACTGGCAGTAGCACGAGGGTTGCTGCTGATTAGCATGCTCTCTCTTTCTGGCTCAAGGAATTTTGAATTATTTTTTGCAGACCACAATAGCTCATCTTTCAGGTTATAAAAACCTAAAGTGCCAAGAGCAATTAAGTGCCTCTAGGACCTGGCAGTGAGGCAAAGATTTTTAGGACTGCAATTTTGAAGTTTGGTGCCCAAGTATTTTCCAACCTAGGAGAATTCAGGCATCAAAGTATTATAGCAGTCTGGTGGGTGAGGAGTCCATTGATTAATTCTTTAAAGAGAGGAGACATATCTACCTATATTTTCCTTAACCTACAGATAACAAATTCCCAAACTTAAACATAAGCTATGGCTATTCTTTACCTATCAGACCTTGTAAGGATCGGTGTATAATGCAATTCATTCCCTCTGGTTCAATGATTCTCTGAGCTCCAAATTGTTAGAGACTGGGAGCCTGTCTGGGGAACAAGTCAGTATGCATTTGCTGTAATCTTTTAGTCTACCAAGGCATCTGCTTTTGGTCGCTATGAAAGACAGATACTTGGGTACATGGGCCTTTGGGTCTGACTGACTACAGCTTTTATGTACAACCTGTGGATAAACAGGCCTTTTTCCAGAGGAAGTACAATGCATAAGGTACTTTGAAGGAGTGTGCATGGTTAAAAGAATATCCCCTTTTAAATAATCTTTCTGGACCTTTAATAAAAAAATACTTACTTGAGTGACTGTAAATATCTATAAGCACAGGAGAGGGTTAAACCTACCAACCTCGTTACTTAAGGGATTAAATATGGTGCTCTGTAAACCCAAAGTCATTCTGGGTCCTTGGCAGAGAGTCAGGCCACCTCACAGTTTCCTGATGTCTAAGCTGGTGGTTGTAAAAACGTATGGAAAACGAAATCTTGTAAGTAACCAGCCCGACAGAGGAGTATTTAGGCAGAAAAGATTCCTCACCATGTCTTCAGAACTAGAAAGCTCAGTCAATTGCTACACTGATTCACAGTGAACTGTTACAAAGGAGTTGGCCGGACCAACGCTTTCACCCAAAACAAACATAAAAAAGCTGTGATGGTACAGTAGCAGGGATTTTTATTTGCAAGTTTAAGGTATGAGCAACAAGTTGTGCAGTTCCCATTAAACTGCCAACTTCTGAGGCTTGTCCTGCTCCCCAGAAAAAGCCAAAGCCAGTGACTTTCAAAGCAAAGACTAAAGCTCCATTCTCAATCCACTTTACAGACCCTCATAAAAACCTCCTCAAAGGGAAAGCTACACAAAGCTCTCTCCATCCCTCACACCTTCCTACCAAGCAGGGAATCATCTTTTCTGCTCTCTGTCCAATACTTAAACAGCAAGGCAACTCTTTCCTGATATTTGTTTCATAGCAGATTTTGGTGAAATCTAAAAGATATATCAGGAGTTTTATAATATGTGACTATTGCTTTGGAGAGGGCTTATTATCCTTTGATTATTAACATGTTAAATCTTCAGGAACTTCTAGTGACGGTGGGTAGCTCAGGTTTTGGCTGGATGTATTTCACATATTTATCACAAATGACAGAGCATTGAGCCAGGCTGCCCAAAACAGCATCACTTTGAGAGCTCCAAGTTATGATGCGTCTGCAAATGTAGGTCTATATCCCCTACTTCCTCTAAGGTCCTGTTTTAATAGTCATTTGCCTTTGTTCACATTTCTAGAATAGAAATATCAAATATGACTATTTAATGAAAACAAGATTATTTGTTAATAAATGAGATAGGAAAAACTGACTTGATGATCATATTGCAATGCTGGTGAAAGGAAAAGCAAAAGGAAGATGAGTTACCTAGAAAACCAGCTCTGAACTAAAGGCTGGGAAGGGACCTGACTGCTCTCTGAGAGCATCAGGCAGGGAGGGCAAAAGAAGTTCTTTAATTTGAAGGTTGACAGCAGCAGAGGAAAAAAAGGGTCAAAACTGGGCACGTAAGTTGGCAGTTTGATAAAGTTTTCTAAGAGTCAGAGGAGTGAGACTCTGAAAGGGCCTTGCGGAGGCGGCGACAGGACTAGTGAAGCTAACCAGGGTTAAGGCAGAGGTTTACTGGTTGCGCAGAGGCGTTATGTGTAGTTGTCATTGGGACTGAATATCTTCATTCAAGAGTTTCAGCCAGTTCATGCTGGGTTTCGTTGGGGAACAGACTTGCTGCATATGCTAATCTGTGCTGTTTTCTGCGACACTGAAAAATATCAGAGCATATCTTCCTGAAGTTGCTTAAACCTGCAATCTGCTGCTAGCAGGGGTTTCTAAGCGGCAGAAAAGAAGGGTATGACCTGACCTGCATGACCAGTCTTGTTAACATCAGCGGGACTATTCAGATGTATTTGGAGACTGACGACACAGAGCTGAGTTTACACTAAAACCATCTGTCACCATGTCTTTGCTAAGTATATTTTTACAACAGCAGGTGAAGTTTATTGGGGTGAGGAATTTTACAGTACGGTTCATTTGGTAGAATATCGATGACATTCTCAAATTTGTTGCTTAAAAGTAAAAAGATTTTCTAGCAAACGAAAACTCATTTGAACTTAAAAATAATCCCTTGGTGATCCCATTTTCAAATATATGCAGCAGTTTTAAACTTCAATATTTTCCCCAGACAAAACAATAAACATCGAAGATATGAAATTTCCATCTTTGAAAGAATTGTGGTGCCAGAATAGTCATTTGGTTGCAATTCAAAAACTGAATTAGATTTCTGGATGCTGAGCTGATGGAACAGAACTGAAAAATAATAAATGGATTTACCTGCTCTTCTAAACCTTTGGGTATAAGCAGCTAGCACTAGTGAATGACATAAATATAACTGTATAGTTTAGAGATATTCGCATCCAGGCACTTACTGCCTTCAATCAGATGATTTCTGAAGAGCAATTGCTTTGGTATATGTTATGAAAATGTTTTTCTGAATAGGAAAATTGTCCAAATGGACCTACATAGCTTCCACAATTTAATCTACTAAAACAAGAATTCTCAGTTTTTTACCATTGTATTCCCTCACAGATACGGTCCACAAATTGTCTTTTTTCTCCCATTTCTAACTGACGACGTGTCCTAGTTCTTAACAAACAGTCAAATGGTGCATTTTGAAAAAGGCTTTAGGAATAGAAGGTTTACTTCTCTGTCTGTCCCTATAATAATTTTTAAATATGATCCCATAGTTGATAGATATTTTTCAATTTAAAAACATTAAATCTATTCTTACCTCATAAGCATTTCAGCCAAACTCTTTGCATCTAGAAGAAAATAGAAGAAATGTCATCATGAATGAAAACCTGAGAGACGAATTAGTAGGAAGTGATTTAAATCAGCCATGTGTAAGACCACTGTTGTTTCTCAGATCGCTGGCAAGAATAAAACAATCTCTAAAAGTCCCTACGTTTGCTGAAACTGCATTTCTGCCCCAGACACCTCTGTTTAGTTCTTCAGGAGCACCAATGATGCTTAGAGAAGTACAAGCTACCATTGGCTTAACTAGAAAAAAACTACAGAAACTTATCAGAATTAGGAATGCTTTAACAAATCATGGGGTTCTCTGTTCCTTCATGCCACAGTTAGCAAGTGAACAGGTGAGGAAGGAAGAAAGGGCAAGAAGACCAAAATGTTGACATCCATCTCTGGGCAGGAGCCAAACCCAAGCTGGATGAAGAGTTGCCAACCTGCCATTTCCAAACCAAACCTGACTGCATGGAGGTCTGAGCAAGGGAGGTCTCCAAGCAGTCAACTTGTTTGGTTGCTTGCAAATATGAATGTTTTTCCACTAGCAATAACTCAAAACTACTACTGGGTCTTCAGAGGACAGTCTGTACACAAAACAGGAGGTGGCTTATTCCTACATGGATCAGCCCTGCAAAATGAGGGGCTGCTGAAGGAGTGGTTGTCATTGTCATTGCTGTTATTATTAGCATAAAATCCTTTGTGGATACAATGATCCTGGTACTGAGCAGATCAAAAGACACAGCTGAAGGTTGGTTCACCCAGCGTTCTTCAGGTAGCTTTCTGTAAAACTCTGCCAACACAATGTAATAATTTCTGTAGTATTATTCAGCAAAAACAGACAGCTATGCTTTGTTCTCCTGCAGTCTGCTGCTAAACAAACTCACTTAAAAATGCTGACTCCAGAGTCCCTAAGTATATCACACAGCAACACGGCAACCTTTTGTGCAAACAGGTGAAGCAAATCTGAGAAGAAAACAATTTCAAGTTCTAAGTCTTCAAGCAACTTTCCTATTATGTGAAACTTTAAACGTCTTCTTCTATCTGCTGCTTGTAAATCTACCAGCACCTGCCACGACATTTACTGAATCTGTCTTTGTTTTCTCCATCTCACCTGTTTTCATTCCTTAATCACCTCTTAGGTCTCCGACACCTACAACAATTTCCTTGCTTGTGATCCTATTAAATATCCTGCCTTTAAAATTCAGAGGATGTAGGCAGAAACAAACCACCATCTTAATGCATCGCTCTGGCTACATTTGTATTCCCTTTTAAAAGGAATGGACAAAGGGTTCTTTTTATTCATTAAAAAAAATCTCAACAAAACCCCTTCCACCCACTTTCTACATACTGTTTCTCTGACACTGTGCCGGCTTGCCTGTCTTAAACTTTATTCCTCACCTACTACTGGAGAAGCTGAAATTCTGTGCTTCCTCTAGGTCTGTTTGCGCCACTCTTCTATTTTTAACCTCCCCCTATCCCTTTTCAGCACAAAGCATGGCAGATTCCTTGTGGACGGAAGGGCTCTTCGTCCGATATGTCCCATCTGATCCAAACAGCGCTCCATTTAGGCACTCAGACTTTCTATTTTTCACTTTGTTTGGGATTGCCTTCTGCTGTTAACACTCTTCTAAGCGGTATTACATAGTAGATGACAATGTCTTTATCGTCAGTCATAAACCAAACTACCACTGCTGCTGCTCCCAAATGATGTCAGTGATAGCTTTGCTACTGACTTCTAAGGACTTGGGAAGAGACCCAGTTTTTTGAAGAATAAAAAAAGAAAAAAGCAGCTCTGGTTCCAAGTCATGTTTTTTCAACAAACTTTACGATGCTTCCTGTTATTCTAGCAGCACTAGGATCACGAAGAGACTATGCACATATTCTCCCTCTGGCACACATAATAAGGGTGGTTTAATACGCAAATATTGTTTTCATTCAGCTAGCAGCTTTTGTGAAGCAATTGCTGCCTCCTTAAGTGAAGACTATGGATACTGTGCAGGTAATTCACAACTCGAGAAAAGGTGAACAGACAAAGTTGAAGGCTGCTTGGCCCAATGTCGTTCAGTTTGCTTTCGAGATTTGTTTACCAGCATTAAATGACAAACAGCCTCCCTCACATGTTCTCAGGTGCTGCACAGCATATAGCTGTGTTCCATGCTGCATCTGGAAAAGATGTTACATTCTCACCATTAAATGTATGTGGCACATATTCAAATACTCATTAACATATATGCATTCTTGGTCAAAGAGATGCAAAGGAGATTGTGCATCTTCAATCAAAAATAGCACGAGGCATCATGCAAGACCATATTGCAAGTCAAAAACTGAATGAGGAAGCACTGCAGAAAAAAAAGGAACCCCAGCAGGGTTTAAATGTACTAATTATTCAAGCAGACTGTTGCAATGGTCAGCAGCATTACTGTAGATAATGATGGCTGTACTGGGCACACGGGGTACTGTGGGACCAGACCAAAATAAACATCTCAAGAAGGTAAGGGATCTTACGTATCTGTCAAAGCAAAACCCAGAAGCCTAAAAGCAAATGAATACGATAACACTGTGTCCAAAACATCAGCTGCAAGAGAAATGCTAGTTTCACAAACCAGTGAGCATAGACTACAGATTGTAATGTGTATTTCCTACATTACACTTTTGATCAGTAAATTGAGAATACTTCATAAAATGAATCAATACCACTGCCAGCGTCCTATCTCCCAGCTTTCAGGTGAGGAAAACAGGGCTCGGGGAGGCCATGAATGACAGAGTGAAGTGGTTGATCTCCCGCTCCAGCCAAGCATCACCCCAGGCCTTAGTAAAAAAGACAAACTGGTCCTCACCGTGGGTTTGACACATGCCTGCACCGACAGGCACCGACTCAGCGACAGCCCTCACTTCCATTTGCAGGGTCAGCCGCCTTTAAAATTCTTAACACGTTTGGCTTTTCCCGTGGGAAATCAGGGGCCATGATACAGTTTTAAATTGCGTGCAGCCACTTCTGAACTATCATGCCACGCTGATACTTTCTGCTTGGTTTAAGGTGAGTTGGATTTAAAAACAAAGGGAAAACTATTACGGTAGTAGTGAAGCCAGGTTAATCGACTTTCTTGTGACCTGACCTGTGGAACTACTAAACTGGGCAAAAATCAGGGCTTGGCTAAAAACAATGCTTTCTTTCTGAACAGGCTAGTCCTGGAGAAATAAATCATACTGGGCATGACACAGGAGGAAGACAAAGGTTTACCTGTCCCTACATGCTAAAACAAGGAGTAAAAGGATTAAGAACGGAGAGACTGCTGTTCTTATGCTACATTTGCCCCAGGGAAACTGGAACCACAAACCCATTGTCTATAAACAGAGATACAAATGTTTGCAGGCAAAAATCACTGCAAACAAATCTGCAATTCCCACTCCTCTTTGTCAAGCAGGTTCAAAGAAGATACAACTCCTGGAGCCACAAAAGCATGAATTACATCTGTAACTTGTGTAAGTTCTTTTAGAAGGTCCCACTGTGGAAAGCATTATTTCTGATGTAGACTAGAGGGAAGTTGGTGGTGGAATCATGATTTAGGGAAAATGTACTTCAAAGAAACCTCACCAGGTGATACATATCAAGAAATAATGACAGGATTTCAATTACAAAACTAATTCAGATGAAAGTTGAACACAAAAACTACTAAAGTAAATCACTTTTTTTTAGTTAGGAGATCAGAAAAACTTGCAGACAAGACTTTTTAAAAGAACTTACTAAGGAGTTCTCTGGAAGAACAATACTGATTGTCAGTAAGACTTTTAGAACCTCCAGAAGAGCAGAAAATGGCTAACAAGGATCAGTCTTCAAAAAGAAGGAACAAAAAAAAATCTGAATCACTAAGGTCCTATCAATCCGATCTTGGCAACGAGCAAAATGACACAAAAAATTGAAAGAAGCTTGATGAAATGAATTAAAGGAGATGGAATCATTGAGGCCAAGCAATATAGACTTGTGGTCAATCAGCCAAGTCAAACAAAGCTGATTTTTTAAAACTGAGATTAAAATCCACTAAGAATTGATGACATTGAAAAAACCCTCACTGAGACACAATTAAATAACATTAAAATATTCTATTCATATTCCTCTAGAGCAAACTTTTGGACCTCAAAATATTTTAATAACAAAGTAACACGATGCAAAAATTAACACAGCACCCATTTTACCTGGGTTTCAACATATTCAAAACGCAACTTTAAGCAGAGAATCATTGTTTAGTATTTGTTATCATCATGCACCATGGGACATCACACCTTGGTACTTTTATCACTGGTCTGAAGTAAATGGAAAATAGCCGATAAAAGTTTGAAAATGACACAAGAATTAAATAGCTAAAATACAATGAAAAAGCCATGTCACTAAGGCATAACAATCTGGATCATGAGGTAGATTGGCGACAAGTTAGCGATGTATCTGTATTAGTATAAGGTCATATATCAAGAATACAAGCCATAGCTATATGATGGAGAATGTATCCTCTTGCAGCGTAAGCAGACAATTGTCAGATGGTCCGAATGGATAAGATGTTGAACGCAAACTCTTAAAATAATGCTGTACTCAAAAAGATGATCCTTGTAGATACAGACAGAAGACCATAAAGGGAAAGGAGAAAGACTGTTACCTCCTATCTGATACTGCTATGTCTGTTGCTGAAATACTGTGTTAATTTCTAGCATACACAGATGAGGAAAGCTACCTACAGATTGCAAAGGGACCAGATAAAAGCCTTGAAATTAATAAATGATCGGAAAACTACAGAGAAAAATTAAAGAAGATTCATCTGTTTCATTTACCAATGAAAACATTAAGAAATTACTTGCTTACCACCATGTAAATGTAATCTCCTCAGAGACCGAAAACAGGATACAAAAAAGAAAGATACTTTGGTCCCTGTACAGCAGACAGAAGTATAAAAGGGCCAGATGGCTGGGATGCTGAGCTGTAGCTTGACAAATTCAGATAAGAAGTGAGATGCAACTTTTACAGAAATGGTAGTTAAATATTGATCACTTCTACCAAAAGTACTGATGATTTCTTTGTCACTGCCTACGTTTAAGTGAAGCTCAGTTATTTTTCTAAATTCCTATATTCTGGGAGGAAATAATTCAGAGAAGTCTTATGTTATGCAAAAGCCATACTGGCCAGTGACGATCACCCTTCCTTAAGGGACTGTAACTCCAGAATCTATGAATACTTGCACATTAACCACCAACAGTCACCATTTCCTGGAGCCAAGGAGCTCAAAATATCCTGTTTGTTACTGGATGGAATTCCACAAGATTTCTGAGAAGATAACATTTTATTCACCCTTAACCCACCACTTTTTTGATGCAAAAAACTGCACAGAGGTAAATGACTGAGAAGGTTTTGAATGGGAAAGTTATTATACAAGCTAAAGCATCCAGATGCCCTGATTTCTAGAGCTGTGTGTGAACGATAAGGCTCATTATCCTCTTTGATCTACAAATTTGGCCATGCCTAAGAGCCCTGTACCTCTGCCTTTTTTTGCAAAAACATCCAAAATATTGGTAAGACAATTATCCAAAATATTGTTAAGACAAAACGAGACCCAAAAGAGAGACGAGTCGATGCTAAGGTGAGATGGAATACACAGGGTTGGCCCTGGTTTTAATATATATCTTGATCATATTCTGGTTAAAATACAAATAACGAAAGTTTGGGGGCTCTTGGAAATGCTTAGACTTATTTTTGCAGATGATAAATCGCTTTACTATTTATGCAACGTGTGATTTGAAAGGCTTTTTCCCAGATACCTTCAATGTAAGGTCTGCTGTTGTGTGCAGCAGTGCAAAACCCACAGGGCCAAGCGCAGGAGCGGCAGATTGCAATGGTCAAAAACCTGGCTGGGGTTCAGCTCAGGGTACTTACTAGAAGACTGACAAAGTTGAATGAATTCGCAGATATAAAACTTATTCATACATCTGAATTTGAATAAGGATTAGAGAAAAGTACAGATCAGTGACAACGAAAGGTCAGTGAACAAACAAGTGCTGTCGTAATAGATCTGTTATAACACACCACAGGGAAAAAGATGTGGTAACAAATCTGAGGATATCTGGTTGTGTTTTCTAGCCCACTAACATGTGGCTACTTCCATTTTATAATCTGGGAGTCACGGTTTGCATCTGCTGGAAAACTGAAATCCCCCCATCTTCAGAACATCTGATTTCACCCTTCAAAAAAAAATACGATTTTAGGTTATCGAGACCATTCACAAGTGAAACAAACAACAAAAAAAGGAAAACAAACAAGCACCAACACATGAGAATTATTTTCCTCTCCCCCATGCAAAACAGCAACAACGGATACATAAGTCATTTTTCAGATGCTTACTACCAGATGAAAAAGAAGGAAATTCTGTAGAAAACACATATGCTTCAGGTTGCCTCATGTCTGTTACGTATCGCAGGGAAATGATACCAATTGGGGATTGAACAGTTTGGTTCACGTTCAGGGAGTAGACATATATAGAAGTAAGTGCCAGAGCTCTCATCTTACCTCGCAGTCTCTTCAGTCTCTGCTCCCTCCTTCTCCTCCGCACAATCAGCAGCATCACAAAAAGCAGCAAGACCCCAACCAAGATACAGGAAATGGTCACCAGCATCTTTAGCCCTTCGTTGGTTGCCAGCCCTTCCTCACTTTGCACAACTGACTTAATGAGTGGAGGGATTGTACCTGGAAACAGTGTCATGATATTAGATGCCTATCAACGAAGACAAGAGATTGAGTTCTCAGGGAATACGGCATGTTATATGCTTCAGCTACATGCAGAACATTAAGAAGGATTTCTAACGTTCAGGGTGGATGCTACGTTTGCATGTGTAACGGCCATGCACACATAACCAGTCACACCGGTAACAAGGTAGAGACTGCAGAGACTCATAGATTATCAGAAATCGAGAAGAAGTGCATTCATTGATGAAAGAAAACCATGCCCATTATACAGCCAAATACTATGATCAATTTTAAGCCATATTAAATCATTACAAAACTGTAAGAGATCTTGGAATTACTCTCTATGTATACTCCTTACTATGGGAAAATCACACCCCTGCGACACACGCATACCTTCTGCTGGGCTTTTCTTTGTAAGGAACATATTTGACAAAGCTCATTTTCTGCTACGTACACCAGATGAATCCTTTGCACAGAAACATTCTTATATCATATCTTAGGGGTGCAGCGGTGATACTGATCTGAAATTCAGACAGCCAATTTGCTAAAGAGCGCCTGACATTATACTCATGAGTAAACCAGGAGAGTAACACTGGATAGAAACAGCCAAATTTTGAGAGTGCAATGAGGGAAATGAATATACAAGCTACTGGCATTGGCAGGCAGCTCACTTTTTCATTTTAGAGACATATTTGCATTTTGAATATACCTGGCTTCCTGGTGATATATAATACTTGAACTTTTCAATTCTTTTTTTCTTTACTTCTAAAGGACGTGAGAAGAATGCAGCACTTCCTTTGGAAGGCTGTTTGGTCATGGAAGACTTCTCACTCATTTCCTGATTACTATTAAACTGCTGAATGCAACCACAAATGAGGCTATAAAATGCAGATTTGTTCGAAATGGGTAGAAACACGCAAGTATTGTGAACTGTGATGACTTCCGATGGAAGCTATTCAATTTTAACCAGCTACTGAAACATAAAAGTGGCTACTTACTTGCTAAAATGATAGGAGGGTGAGAGAGAAAAACAGGCACATTCTTTTTCACATTTTAATTGCTGCATTGAGTGATATAGTTATATCTCATTATGTATCATACAGTATCAGAAAAAAAATTGTGATACGAAATGTGAGTGCCATAACCACAGTGAAAATGTAGAATTCTAAACCATATTTTTTCAGAAGAGCTATTTGAGTTGCATATAATGAGAAGAGTAGTTCCCTAAAGGGACGAAGATAAACAGAAAAGCTACAACCATCCAAACCAATATCAGGTACAACTGAAAATTTATTTTCTTACAATTGATTTTGAATAATTTTCTCCTGTCCCATTGTAGTTCTTCCCCATAATTTTCCTTCCTTTTCTAATTTTCCATTTCTTGGAATAAACATACAGCAGGATTTTTTCATCTTAACTGAGATGCAGTTTTTGCACTACTCTAAAATGATTAGATGAAGAAATGGGAAGAACTTCAAGCTCCTGAAGGTAATACTAATAACTACCTCTAAACCCTCCTGAATACAAAAGGGCCAAGTTTTGCTCTGAATTAAAGTCACACAGACCATTGGCTAAGGACTGTTGGGTTCGAGATTACCTGAAATTCTGTCTTGCTCTCCTTAATACTTCGATGAAAATCAAATTAAGACTGGCCTATAATTTCAGTTAAACCTTAAGTGTCTAGGTAAGTGATTATCATTTTCCATACCTCTTCCAAGTAAAGTGTAAACTTCTTAATATCATATACAGGCAGTACGAGCTTAATTAAAAAAACATACTGCAAGTTTATATATCCTTCACATTATCCATTTGCGGATATCTAGCAACTGTATTAGAAATTACCAAAAACTAAACCTGCTACACATTGAGAAAACACCATTTCAACATTTGTTGTCATCCTAGGTGTCGGCTAGAAGTGGAACAGCCAAAGCTGTTCTCAGAACAAGGTCTCAAAACAAATTGGGAGGGTTTGTTTTTTTCCAGGTCAATTCACCATCGCCCTTTGTTAGCCTGCTCTACTGGTGTGTCATAGAAGTTGTAACACGAATGTCTCTGACCCTGTTTTCCCCTGTGGTGCAGCCGTTCCAGCATCTCTCACTGCGCCTTGTGACTTCTGGACTACCAAGTGTTTCCCTGTGTCCTAACTGTTCTTCACGGTGGGAAGTCCCCTGGTGGGCTAGAATTAATTAGCATAGTTTAGAGTCGCTACTAAGCTGATCTGATTTAATGTCAGGGCTACTGAGTAGCTGATGTCTGAGTCGGGAAGCTCCTCTGCAGTGCTACACACTACAGGTGCACATTGCTAAACATATCTCCTGAAGTATTGGGTGTGAACGTTCTGAAAAACAAGGGTCAGGAAGGTCATAACATCTGTAAGCTGAAAATGGTTAGCTGAAATACCTACAAACAGAAAGCAAAAAGTCACAGGTAGATCTGTCATTAACCTTTTGACCTCATTCACCATGAAGAGATTTAAGGTAAAGGATACCTAGTCATGCTATTTCTCAGGAGCTCTATCACCGATAACAGTCAATACTGTCAACACCGATACTGCAGTCCAAACAAAATGACTGAAAGACCACGTAACTCAAGGATTTCTACAAAGTTTACAAAGGCTTTATCTTAAGACTGCTAAAGCTCCTAAGGTTGTTCTTAGCATTTGGTATCCAAGGACTTTCACACACGTATCATCTAATCTTCAAAGTACTGTCCTTCTACCTGGTTTTGCCGAAGGGCAGTGGTGACCCCTAGAAGCTGGAAGGGACTAATCTCACATCGCAAGACAATCATTGGCAGAGGTAGGGCTGGCACTCAAAAGTGGAGCTGACCAAGAAGATTCCCCTGGCATGCTTTCTGTAAATGAAAAATTCACTCTCTATGAAAACAAAAATTTCTGCATGAAATATTGATAGAAAATGTTCGTTTCTAACCAGATGCTATTTTCCAACTCTGAAGTGCTTTAAGCCTATGCAGCTTACCAAGGAACAAATGAACAGGGAGCTGGGACTCTGCAGGGTCAACTTTTGCTTTAGTAGCACTGAAATAGTTCTTCTACAAAATCTCTTCTGTGGGAACAGACTATCTTATTTTTTTAATAATAGTAATAATAATAATAATAATAAGAATAATAATAATCAGTTTACCATTTTAGTTCTGCATCAAATGTGACAAATTCAGAAAATCTGAAAAATGAAAATTGTTTTTCTATCCATATTTTCCTTTCTTAACCTTGTGGTCAGTATTTGAGATCATGCTGCTTCTCTAAGGCACAATATATTCCTGGCAAAGCACGCTTGACAAACAAAACCAGCAACGCTCTAAATGAGAAATTTTCTAGCTCACCAGAAGCAGTGGTCCAGGAAAATTAATGCTACAAATATTTTTATTGTTTCATTTTCTCACTTTTAAAGATGCCATACAGCAACACACAAAATCAAATGGTGTGCAAGTCACAGTACGTGAACCCAAGCTAAATATCATCACCTAACCAAAAAGCAGAGTCTGATAACATTTCAAATCAGTTCACTGTAAGAATATATTTAATTTCACTGTTATCAGTGGGAATCTAAGGCTCTGGATGTGCATTTTCATATTTTCATTCTAAGGTATGGCTTAAGACTGTTTGCCCCAGTTATAGATATGTAACAATAACTGTGGATGTAAAAAAAAAGATCACTGAAAATTGGATGCTGCCTGTAGAAAGATACTGAAAAGAAACGAAGACAGGCTAAGTAAAGTGGTAAGAAATTAACTCATAATACTTGAAACAGTTATCACTGACAACGTCTCTATAGCTTGGTAAAACAGGTTCCAAGTCTACCTGGCACGACCTGGCAGCACTTGTATAATAACGACTTGGATCTTGGTTTCCTGTAGGCCTCTGAAGTGTTGAGACAAAATCTTTCTCTTAATTTTTTAGACTGTCTGAAATAACATAAGGACTATGTGGCAGCTTACCAAAATGGTATTTTCTCAGAAAAACATGAAGGAGTGTCCTATTTGCAAAAGGGTGAGCCATTAGGGCATGTGTCGTTAATTATCTGCAAGAACTGATGAGTACCTAGTGCAAAGACTGGGATAGCATTAGAGGATGTGTAAGATGCTGAGGTTTAAACCCTGCCTGATTTATATCCCACACTTCTGACTGGGAGTGGTCTCTCTTGCTTGCTCTTCCCCAAGCCATACATGGGTATTCTCCTGGAGAGTGGTGGTTTGCGTGGGACAAAACTGCAGCAGGGAGATGTGTTACCAACACCGAGTTATGAATGATTAGCAACTAGGTGCTGTCGCTGGACAACTATCAGTTCTTGCTTGAACTTGCTCACTAGTCCTATTGTTTCATTTAACAGTACAAATGTCGCCAAGTGGTCGCACAATACAGCACAATATCCCTGGCAACACCACAACATTTTACACTGGATGTCTCCAGAAAAGCTCTGGCAATTCGCACTAGAACAATTCAAGAGATTGCCGTCTGGAGCCATCTGTACTGCCTTTTTGCCAGAAATGCAGCCTTTTCCCACTACAGAGCCAGCAGAAGCACACATGTGCCACCATCACTTTCAATAAACGTGCCAGGATACGAGCTGGAGTGACTGACAAATTGGCATGTTTGCTCTTGCCCTCTTGTTTGGGCTTTTACAGGGTGGGCAGTAACCCCTGGCAGAAGGGCAGGATGCAACAATTCCTTCATCCTCTGTGCCCGGCTGCTGGGCATGACAGAGCCATCTGTCACAGCCATTAGTTTCATTTTCCTTTGTCTGTAAATAGGGATGATAGCACTGCCATTGCTTTGCCCTTGGAGAATCTTGTCTGGAGGCTTTCCCAAAAGACAAGCTCGTTAGCTGCTCTGTTGTGTCATATAATGGGTTTTGAGCCGTGCCACAAGGACATTGCATGGAATAGCAATGAGGCCAGTCGCTGCCGTGAATGGCTGCAGGAACCAACTGCATGGGAGACAAAAATTTCATGGAAGAGCTATATGAAATACTAGCAAGTGCTTCTGTGACCACTGGAACTAATGACACCCAGGGTCCTACTGTTACGTGTCTCGTGGTTGACTGACTTTGGTGCTGGAGCTTTTCCTCAGTGAGGACAAAGAAACAATTCCTCTTTTCTGCCTGGCAGCCTATTGTCATGAAATCAGTAGGCAATTTTACATCTTGGAGACTGCTACCCCTCTGTCAGTATGGCTAGCAGATTCAAAAAGGGTTTTATGGGGGGAAAAAAAGACAGACAGACAAGCAAAAATATCACACAAGAAACTAGAGTAAAAAACAGTATCTTGGACATGTAAATAAAAAGACAGACTTACTGCCATCGTAATTGAGCGTTGCAAATTTGGCTTGTTTCTCTGCACAGCCAGCACTGTTGCACACTCTCATTTGCAGCTCGTACCAAGTTGCCTCCTGGAGGTCATACAGTATGTAGGACTTGGACAGGGAGGTCCGCTGAGCGGTCGTCCAGACTGTTGTCCCAAATGGCCGGTACTCCAGGGTGAAGGAGGTGATGGGGCAGCCACCATCATTCCAGCCTATCAGGTTCAGCCTTACTCTCGTGGTGTTGATACTAGCAAAGAGCTCTTGTTCCTTCGAAAACTGTGGCTCTAGAAGCAAGGACATATTTCAAGTGAAATACTTCAGTATTACAGATACAGGACTCTCAAAAATATAAAATTAAGAGAATCATTTCTAGGACAATCCTAGCTTCATCTTAAACTCAGTGGTTTTTCCCCCCAACTTATTCAATGTTTTTTTCACACTTTGTGCCAGACTCACAAACCTAGATTTTCAAATCCGTATGTGAAAAAAATATCCATACATTTCTGCATGGACCTGACTCGCTGGTTTGCATGGACTGGTATGAGTCAACTTGTGAATCTAGTGTAGACACTTCATATCAGTAAATGCCCCTGCTCACTGCTATGCAAAAAAGAAAGGGTTCAGAACACCATGTAGAAATACCACAGAAGACAAATACACTTGAAGATTGTCCGCTATTGTGCTCTAGTCTTCTTTTGAAGTGGAATTGAACACAATTTTGTTTGAGAGTATAGAGGCTTTCATTTGCGGAAAATGACAACTTTGAAGAACTTGGAATTAAAAATAAAATTTAAAAAATACTAATATGTTGACATTGCACATGATATATTTGAAAATAATATATACTTTGAAATTTGTATTTCTGAGTTAAAATGTTTCTGTTCAGAAGGGGGATGACCTTTCTATTTACCTGCTTTGGGTCCAAATGTTGGTTTCTGTTGATACATACATTAATGTTTTTTTGACAGTTCTATATAATACAGGAGTAATGACAGTAAAAATGGCACCATAGAATTGAAATAATGACAGTAGGTGGACAAGACAGGTCATCAACAAATGTTACTTATATTAAATATTACTGTAGAGCACTTAAAAATACTATTGCTATTTTCTTAGCAGAAACAAAATATTTTTCTAGTGGAAGTTACACCTAACGTGATGAAAATTATCTATAATGTGCTTTTTTATTCTATATAATAAAGGATAATTTATCCAATGAGAGTCTTTTTGCCATTCTTGCGCTTCAATGAGGTGTACCAAAATGTACTCTCTTTTCTAAATTCTACAGAAATGTAAAAGACACTGGTCATTCCTGTTGTGTATTATGAACTATTACAACTGGCTCTGTTAACAGCTTTGGACATAGATGCTTCTGGAGCGTCTCTGAATGAGAATGATCTCAGCATTCTAAATCACACAGCACCTGGTTCAGTCTGTAAATGTAACACAGGTAGTTTCCAGACATGTAGATCAAGTCCCAGAGAAACTCAAAAGGTCGGGAGCTCTGCTTTCTCATGAATCATTTGGATGTCATCTGAAGCACGTGTAAACCTTACATTTCATGCAAAGAAAACGGAACACTCAACTCCTACTTCTCTAAATGCCTGTCTTTAAGGTCAGTAGCTCACTCTCCCTGACCACTGATAACCTCAGCATGTACACAGCTGATCTGCGGTCTCTCCTGAGCTTCAGCAAGTCATACCAATCGCATCTACTGCATACCAGGTCTTCCCTATGCCACTGAGTGCCACATGAAATGCCCTTCTTGCTGTGATGCTTGGGAGATCTGCAACAGCACAGGTCCGATGGATAGCATAAAGAAGGGCAGATGTACCTATCACAGTAAACTATCTTTATTGGAAATTGCTCCTAAAACAGAGTATTTCTTACAACCAGTGAAGAGGTGCGAGAGGAGGTGATCTTTAGCGCATTATGCAAAGCTACTCCACTCTGTTGACTTAGGGGTAAGACTTTCTTAAGTGCCTCTTTAAGAGGGTCTGTTGCAAAATTTGCTTATAATCCTGACACATATTTGCAATGTGGAACTACCCTCAGCAACCAGGACCATGGGACTCATTGCTGAATAAGCTAAATATTCCACAAATTTAGACTCTTTTGCCTTGCAGAGCTTTATGGAAAATTTTCCTTTATTTTTGACACTTATCCTATTCAAAGGGTGCTACTTGCATGGCTCCTGCAACATCAGCTTAGAGCAGAACTGAGACATTGTCTCCATTTCCTCTACCCATGAATATACTCTGCATCTTCCTTCAACATCCAGACAAATAAAACCCTGAATTTTTACAACAGGAGAGGAAACAACTTCCTTGTGGCAATAGCAGTAGTTGGAATTGCTATAGCCTATGACAGTGGAGGCACCCCCTTCCCAAATACCTACCAACCCATTTTAGAAAAAAATTATTAGAGAAATAAGGAAGGAATACCAGCTGGTAGGTGCTTCAAGTTCTGCAGCAACAAACTCTTCTGTTGCAGCAGGGACACAATTGGAAATGCTTCCAAAGCCAATAATATTAAAATAGCCAAGTCTGTCTTCTCATCAAACCAAGATCTCCAGCAGAATGCAACAGCTTTAGGTGAGCAAAGGGGATGGAAATCAACGTACCTTTTCCAAGCGTTTTGGCTTCAATGATCTCGCTGATGCGTCCTGGCCCCACTCCGTTCTGAGCAGTTAGAGTAAACTTGTACCAAGTGCCACATTTCAGTGTTTCTAAACGGTAGGACCTCTCACTAGGGCTAATGGGAAAACTACCCCACTGCTCACTGTTATCTTCCGAGTACTGCAAAATATAACCTGCAGGGAAAGCACAGATGGCAACGATAAGCCAGACACAAACCACAAATTCTGCAGGTAATATGACAAGTCATTGTAAAGACCTAATAAAACTAGAAAAACCCCATGCACAGGAAGACATACAGCTCTCCCCTGACTAAAAGATACCAGGCAATACATTTTGCCTACCCTTACAACAGCTTAAATACCATTTTTATGATCGCTTCAAAGGGAGAAGAAAGGGATAGACATTTCTAAATACCCTTCAATCAGAAACAAAGACTAGATGATGAACCTGGACCCTCAAAAATGAATGGTTAGAGATTACATGTCTGGAAAATCAGAAAGAGTAACTGTCATAACAGCTGAGGGTACGCTGGAAGAAAGTGATTAAATCTGTGATTAAACCACCACAAAGAGAAACTGCAATTCACTGAAAGCTGTTATCACCATGATAGTGCACATTAAATGCTGACAGCAATACAGATTGCTTTGTTTTTCTTTTTTTTGGTAACCATTCATAATTATATACTAATCCTATCAACATATGATAATTTATTAAGAAGTTGCCATTAACCTGAAATATATTACCTCGGATAGAACGTCCACCATTGTCTCCAGGTATCCAGGAAAGAGTGATAGAGGAAGATGTAGTTTTTGATACAGTGAGTCTTGGTTGGTCTGGTGGAACTAGATGGGAAATAGTTAAAAATAGAAAATAGATTCAAATGATTAGACATGATCTTAATCCCTTCTAACAGTCATTTATCAAATAACTGTTTTGAGTTGCAAAAAATGCAAATGATTTCTGTCAAAGTGTCTGTTTAGCTGACATCCTTGGTTAAGACAAGAGCAGACAAGCTCTCATTTTTTATATTTAATTTTCTACACAATTTTGTCTTTCAGTTCTTAACCCTTGCTGTTCTCTGAATTTTTTGTATCTGCCCTGCCAGACCTAAACAGCGTATGAGCTACCCCGCCATTATTTTTCATTATTTTTCATATCTATTTTAGGGAGAAGCTGAATTTTCAGTGGTGGCAAACAGATGTCCACTTGCAAATGATGTCCCACTCATGCATGCATTTGCAGGCTGTTATGGCAAAAATAAAAAAAAGAAGGGCATAACAAGAGTTTCTGCAAATGTCACTGTGAGCGTCAACTAGGTAGCATAGGTAGATCTGTAATCAGAGGCGAATCCATACCTCTTCCAGATCACACCATCTAGTCACTGAGGCTAATGGCATAAAGAAGACACAACTCTACCAGCAAAGCTTGCACAAACCTGGATGCACTTCACTTCTGCTGCTCCCCATAAACATTATGGTTGTGTCTAAACTGTGGGACATAAGAACCACACAGTTCCCAGGACCAGTTCCCGACAGAGTGCAGGGATAAGATGGAGGTCTCACCTCCCATTCTCTGCCCAGCGTCCAGTTTCCTTCAGCAGAAAATCCAGCACGAAAGGGCAGAGAATGAATCATGCTATATCCCAACAAGTCACCCAGGCTAGGGAGAACTGGGATTGGGAACTGGGACAGGGAATTGGGACCAGAAATGGGAGTAGGAACAGGGACAGTTTAGGCTCAGCCTAAAGGACCCCAAACTGCACCAATGTATAGTGGCTGGGTTTCCAGAGCTCAATGCTCAGGGGCAAAAAGTGGCAAAGTTGTCAGTTTTCTCTTCACCTTGACAGATCTATCATGAGTCTATCATATAAAAGCTAACTACGTTGCCAATGTAATCATATCCTAGTTACAGCCTGGAGAGCTCATCTTTGAATTCTGCCTGAATCATGTAGCTAAGCTAGTCCCTTTGTACAAGTCAGGTAACCAGAACTGTGGCACAGAACCAGTAAGGCCACAGAGGATGGTGTTTGCCAAAACAGAGATGAATGGCAGGCGAAACTCCAAAAAGCTAGTCAAAATAGTATTAGAGCCCTGAAGGGTAAATATTTACTAGCACTTTGCCCAAGTGCTTTACATCTGCAATTCTAGGTTCAGAAACTGAAAGGAGGAGAAAGGGAAGTTCCTGTTTCAAATCCTTTGCACTGCTCTGGTCATGCACAGCAGCACTGGGTCTGGCTCATCTTACGAATTATTTTCGGAACAAGTGTTACTAGAGGTTGCTCAAAGCTCCTCAGAAATACAGACAAAATTGAGCTTTGCTGCCTCAAGAGCAAGGAGTGAGGCCTGGACAGTGTCCACCATGGGAAGGGATCTGAGAAGCAGCAGCAAAGCTGGGAAGGAAAGGCGGGGAGGAGAGACACCAGGGTCATCACACCTCCTGCGGTCGCTGTCACTGCAAGGGTGGGAAGGGGCGGATGGTGTCGGTCACCGCTGCTGGCAGGAGCTGCCGTTTCCCTGCCTTAGTTATTGCGCAACAGACACCAGGCCATAAGCAGGGCAGGACAGAGGTCACAAATGCTCTGTCATGTCAAGCAGTTGGCTACCAGAAGACGTTGCGTGCTTTGTCGATGTTTAAGGGGTAGCTCTATCCGCAGAGTGAAACTCCAGGAAAAGCTCCCCGCTGCGGTTCACGTTCAGGTCACCGCATTGCAAAATAACGAGTGCTGATGTGAAGCGGAGGCGGCTGGTTTACAGCTACAGACTAGTTCAAAGAGTTGATTTTACTGCCCTCACAGGGCTAAACAGTGCTGAAGAAAACAAAAAAGACAGTTTATATTCTAAAGGAAAATTTCCTATGTGAGATGGATTTGTTCCCTTATTTTGACTGACATGGCTGAATCCATGGAGAGTGCACACACCAGACTGGGAAAGATTTAGTGTCAAACCTTTCCTCACAGCTTCACCCTGCCTACAAAAGATGGTGGTCTTACATATTAAGTGCCAGTCTTTCTCTGTCCCTCAGGAAATTAATATTGCTTTGCTTTTAGTTACTGCACTTCAATAACAGCAAGGATACTCAATTGTGAAAGCACTTAGTGAAATATAAACACGAGGTTTCCATTTGGTAGTGTTTTCTTTCCCTGCTTCCTGTTGTGGTCGTCCTTCCGACATTGCAGCAGAGCATCTTTAGGCTCTGTTGGATTGTAGGGAAGTTAATATATGCTATGGCCTTTGTTTCAAGGCTTAGTGGAATGCAGACAGAGTCGCACTGCGGTTGAAACAATGGCTTTCTGTGTTCTGGTATGTTTGCACTAGGAATTTAGATTGCATAGCGAGGGACAGGAGAGTGACTGGCCGCAGCGTGGCCCACATTCCCACCTCAGTTATTTGCTTCCCTCTGCTACAACAATTTGCAGTCAATTGAAGCACTCTTCGGATCTGCTTTAGTGTAAGTGAGCAAGGAAATCTCCCGTATAGTGAATTCTTGGCAGGTGAATACACATGCTCTGCTTCACATTGCTATTGATGTATACTCTTACATTGTCATTGCTTTTATACATATTAACACCATAATGGATACATTAGATATATATTTCAACATGCATATAAAAAGTAGCTGGTAATATGCTCTAGCTGAAGGTGTACTGATGTTTCATTTTAAATGCTTCCTCATATTCACCATCAATAAAATTCTGCTCTTGCATAATGAAGTTTTTGTCCAAGGTCTCAGTCCAGAGGTATATTCCTGTTGATACTTTTTCAGAGGCTAAAGGCTTTTAGCTCCTTCTGAATTTTGCAATATTTAAATAATAAATTTAATATTTCTACAAAGAAGGCTTAAGTTGATACTTTCTGTGTGAAGAACTAGAAAATAACTGAATGCAAACACTCAGTTGTCAGTCCTACAAAAGCTTACACAGAGACTTAACTGTGAGTGTGTGAATCATTCCACCAAAAGCAAAACATTTGCATTATAATAAGATATTGATGGCTGAGTCATCATCATATCACAGAATCATAGAACGGTTTGGGTTGGAAGGGACCTTAAAGCCCATCCAGTTCCAACCCTCCTGCCATGGGCAGGGACACCTCCCACCAGACCAGGTTGCTCAAAGCCCCATCCAACCCGGCCTTGAACACTTCCAGGGATGGGGCATCTAATGACCTGCATAATATTGTATTTATTAGTTTGGAAGAATGAAATTTGTATTAATACACATTAATACTAATATTTTACAAACACCTGCAAACAGACATACCTATGCACTACCAGCACATAGCAGTTAATAGCTGTGATAACAATTATGAGATAGATCCAGTAGCCTTACCTTGTACCTGCAAATTCAAAATTATTTCATCTGATCCCCAGTTGTTACTGGCCACGCAACTGTAGTATCCCGAGTCTTCTGCTTTCACAGTACGGATGACAAAGCTGCCGTTGCTAAAGATGCTTCTTCGCCCATCAATCATCACTAGACTGGGTGTCCCGTTACTACCTCACAGGAAACAAAGTGCATACATTAAAGAAGTTACAATCAAAATTACTCAGAATTGGATTATTTTTTGATGCAACTGAGAATGGAAAAAAAGAAAAAGAGAGGAGGGGTTTCTCCCCTTTAATAAAGACAGCAAAGGAATAATTTCTGCTGGGAAACACCTGCAATTTGCTTAAAGAACGCACATATCCTGGCCACAATCTGAGTGAAAATGGGAATTCACTTCTTCCTTAACTATCTGCTATTTCATAAAAATGCCAAAATAGTAAAAGGCAGTTCTTGGCTACAAAGTCCATCCTTATAAAATCGTAGCTGTTTGTATCAATGCACAAGATGGTTTTGCAGCACTCCAGTATGACTGCTTACACAGTGCTTGGATGAAAATCATTGTCCATGTGTGTTTCCAAGTGACTCTGTCAAACTGTGAAACTAAAGATCAAAACAGAATAACAGAAAACAAGATACGTGCAAGACATGTATGCTGCACTGCACAGCACAATTCAAGGCATCACAAACTATTATGTGTGCCTGAAGTTAAAACAGAAAAGACTCCTAGGTTTTAAGTTTTGAGTGTTTACCCTTACCCCTTCCTTACAAGTTTTCCTCCCTTTTGATACCTTCTAATCACCACAGCCAATTAGTTTTTGTTCAAGGAATTTGTGAACTCCTCATCTACTGTGGCTGTGTGCAGTCCCTGCAAACAGTCTTTCTCCCTCCTGACGCAGTCATCCAGGATCACCCGCACCACAACCCTCAGGATTTTAAGCAAATGGGCTTTATTTGAGCTATACGTTTAGTTGCTGGTTACCTATCCTTCATCCATTTGACTGTCGGAGCTGGGTCTCCCACAGCTTTGCAAGGGAGGACAATGTCCTTCATCCAGGGAGTTGTCACCGTGCCACTGAACGTCAAAATCCTGGCCGGAGCTGAGCAAGAAAGAGCAAGAAAGACTGAAATGAGGTGTTCATTCATAATATCAGCTATTTATTCAAGCATAAATATTATAGTTTTAGTATCTGGAAGACAAGTAACTAAAAGAGAGATGTGGCAGAGGACTAGAAGAGTCTGTGGAAAAAAAGAGTAAAACCAGTTATTGATCATCTCTCCCAATTTTTATATATTTCATAATAGAAATTATGGATGAAAATTATGTCCAAGGCATATGTCCAAACTTCCAGCAGGAAGTGTCCACAGTAGACAGGTATCTTACAAAGTCAGATTACTGATGCATCGCTGTTACAATAGCTATGGTATTAAGGAGCATAAACCTTAATGTATGAATATGTTAGTGCATTGCAAAGAGTCTATCTGAAGCCCACAAATATGAAAAAAAAATCAGATTAATTTGTGTCAGTTCCCATATCACCTAAATATATCAAGAAAAATGTCACTCTTGTAGTTTCAATTTATAATATACAGGAATGCTAGGGTTGTGACAGAGCTTCATCCTATGTTATTACTCAAGAATGACCCTTGATAGAAACAGATTTCTTGTCTGCCTCTGAATATACATTTCAAAGGCATATACTGAATACAGATACATGAAATACTGTATTTTTCACCTGATCTACTTCAGTCACGCACACTGATCAGAATTTATACTTAATAATGCAAAATGAGAGCCAGCATCAAATATTACTGGGACAGTTCACCTAAATAAAAAAAAAAATCATGCATAAAAGAACAGGCCTTGAAGAGTTAAGGGAAATGCCTTGAGTAGGCTGCAGTGGGGCCTGAGATATTCGTGAGAAGAAAAAATTTCATAGATTATACGATCAGTTTGGACTGTGTTGCCTATGTTCTCTTCAAGCATTGTTGAAGACTAAGCTTCTTGAGAGATTTTTCTCTGGTCAAAATTGCAACTGAAAACACAAGAGGTAGCTGTTTAAGGATTTGGGGTAATGGACAAAGTCAAGGTTAGGTAATGGGATGACATTACTTTCCTAACAGCCAAACATTGACATGTCCCATCCTGGCTAAACAGCAGCTGAAGACCCCTGGCTCCCTCGTTCAGGCAGCTCTGATGGTTAAGCCCTGGCAGGAGGTGTGTGCTGCCCTGAGTTGGTGGTACACGGGAACGATGCAAAGACACTGGTCAGTCCGTAAGTCTCATGATACAGCCTTCTTTTCCACTGTGCCACTCCTAAGGCTGTATCTTCTAGAAAAGATTTACACAGGCCTATACTGCCACGAGCCATGGGCTAATTAACCTTCGAACTGAAACAGAAAAATGCTCAGTCTACCCAGAGAGATGGTGTGAAACGCTGCCTCCACTGAAGTTAGTGTCAGAAGGCTCGTTTGGCTTCAGTGGTGCCAGGTTTTCGTTGCAGGAGATGCCTAATGGTACTCACGCCATCTTTAAAAAGTAGCAGGAGATGCTGTCAGCTGTGACTATTTACAAAACACATCTGTAAGCATCTGGACTGCTCCTGGTAACTGCAGTGCATTCTGAGCAATGGTAGTTAGAAACTCGAATTCCTGTTCCATGCAGAATCCCCTCTGTAACATGAAGCCTGAAAACTCATTTAAAATGAACTATCAATCCTTTTCTCCCTGGCTTTCCCACCTTTCCTGTGTTTCTTGAAATATCCAGCTATTTCCCACTGCTTCCAGTTACTTTAGGACAAAGCATATGGAACGCAGGAATCCTGCTGGAGCCTTCTGCATGGACATGGCACCACTGTTAGCAAACCTTCTGTGATACTCCTTTGTTTTTAACAGTTATTTCAACAGTGAATTCTTCCTTAAGTCATAGGTTGGGTATCAGATCTCCAAAGCACAACATTTATGTTCTAGCTCCTGGGTTTCAATGTCCTGTATCCCTCGTTTTACAGTGATGTGTGGAAGTAACACACATCTCTCAGAAGCCTAAGCCAGTGGTAAGATCACAGACCATAACACAGAAGTGCACGTTACAAAAGCATACCACACTATTTTTGTGAAAGTACCTACAGCTTTCTATGCATGATCTTACTGCTTTCATGCACCGAGTGCTTTTAAAAGAGAAGGTAAAACAGCACGAAAATTCTTAACCCCACTTTTCTTTATAGCTTAACTTGTAACAATGTTCCGACACTGCTAACAGGTACACAAACCGATGAAAACTAGAACCAAAACAAATCTCTAGTGAAATTCAGCTGAAAGCAATGTCTGAAATGCTAACAGGCCTTCATGAGGTTAAACCACCTTGAATCTCACAGACCTCTCCCTTTTGATTCAAGGGAGCTTTATGCAGCATGTGGGCAATTCAGGCGCAGGGCTGACCTCTCTGTTACCGAAGCCACCCAAATGCTTACCGACTGCCCACCCGCCTTACGTTAGATGGCATGGCACTGGATTAGGACTGTGTCTGATCCTATCTTTTGCAAATTACCCGATTGTTAATTGAAGATAAAGCGGTGCCTTCACAGAATAGTGCACTCTCTTACGCTAATGCAGTTTTCTGCCTGCTTGTTTGCTTAAAATATGAATCCTATTACCTATGCTTACTGTCACAGAATAAGAAACAGGCAGAAATTCTTTGCAGGAGGCTGTAACACACTTTTTTTTTTGCCTCGAGAGGACACAACCGAATTTTAAAGGCAAACTGTATAGGAAAACCAAACAAGAGCTATGACACTTCACTGCAGCTCAGCTTAATCCAAATACAAAAGCCACCAGTGAATACTTTGGGTCCAGAGCTTCTTTCATTTACTTTCTCACAGAAGAATATTCTGTGTATTCCAGTATGATGAACCATTAAAAGAACAGACCAATGTGGTGTATGTACTAGCATGTGAGCCCCACACGTTGTTTAAAAACATTGAACACACAAAGTGACATAGACTAGGAGGCAAATCTGTTCCACATTAATGCTCAGGTAGTCAATGAGTCAGGGAAACTCAGCATTTAAAGTCAGAGAGTTCTCTGCGAAGGATCAGATTGCCATGGGTCTAGATCTGTAATTGTCATGATGCTGGCAAATGCCATTCTCCATCCGTTGTGGTAAGGAAATAAGAGGAATAAAGTGCATGCAAGGTTTTCTGCTTTTAGATATATTTGATAGGCTAAACTCACAACTTTCAAGTCAGCAGTGAAGCATAATTTGAGGTGCAGAGGCACAGCCTGTTTACATGGAGACTGAACTTTCGTCATCATGATTATTTTCTCTTTGTTGGGTTATTTTACTTATTTTTGTCAGTTAATTACAGAGAATAACAATCTGTTCTGAGAAACGGAGACACTAAAGAAAGAAATGTTAACCTGAATTAAGCTTTCATTTAAATTGGACTATCCATTTCACATCAAATCTCTATCTAGACATGCTCATTGTTCTCAAAAGGGTTCTTAAAGGGGTTATAGTTAAGTTGACATAATTCAATTCAAAGTTAACTCTTACTAGCTGTCATGATGGTATCATTACTTGGAGAGTTACTCTGAAATAAGTGGAGAAAAAAAGGAAGCAAACAACTTCACAATAATGGCCCACAGGATGCTCTCGAGCTGGGGACTTCTGGCAAAATCAGGTTGTAACTGTTTCTAAGCCTGTGATGTGTTACTTGCTTCAGACGTACTGGGGGGGTGAGAAAGGTCTTCAAGGCAATTAGCTCTGCCCATCCTTCATTGTGCATCCACTGCCCTTATCACTGATGAACACTTTTTCCCAGCTCTCTAAAAGGCCCAGTAATGCATTCATACAGGAAATCCTGTACGTGATGGTAATTTCTAACCTGGTTACATCCAAAGTTCCTAAAATTGCTATCTATCAGTATTCCTAGTGTCCATCACGACCTCCACAAATGAATAATTCATCACTTTTTCACTCCTAGGTACATTTAAGAGAGGCTTGTCCTGAGCATCACCTAATGCAGACTTTCTATTGGAGCATCACTACTAGCTCTAACATTGACTGGATGCATTCTACCATCCTTCAAAATAATGTCTTTTTCACACTGACTTGTCTATATTGAAGTAATTAATTATTTTTCCTTAAAGTCCCCTTGTCTTTTCATAGAAGCTATTTTTAAGTTCACTTATTTGTCATTAAGGATCATGTTAAATAAGCTTTGGAGGATCAGAATTAATTCCAGCTTCTGGTAAGCTCCATCAGTTTAAGTACATGTGGGTCAGTTTGTAAGTTCTTTATTTTTTGCAAACCGAGATCAATCGCATACTACATTTCCTTGCAACTACAGGTTATGAATCTTGGTACTTGCAAACTCTGTGTTGTTCTGCATTCATCTTGTCCAAACTCTTCCCTCTTTGTTAAATGCACAAGCCATGGAGAAAGAGAACTTCCAGTGCATTATGTGCAGGGGTCCCTGCACACTCCTGGGTTTGCCTTCATCCTCAGTCTATGTTGTTGTCTAATTGCTTTTGCTTTTATTCGAGCGTCTATTTTTATGCCTATTTTTGTTCCCTTTTTTTCTTGCTTTCATCACCACACATTCATTACGCACAGGTAACAGCTGGCCTAAAAGAAGGCGCACACTGAAACTTTTTTTCTGTTTCCCTGAGGTGTTTTTTCGTGATCTTCCTTCAGAGATGTCCTTTACACTCCTGATCCACCTTTTAAGATCTTAACTTTGGTCGCACTGATGTTCATAATGCAGTATGCAGTTATCCTACAAGAAATTCAACAATGGAAACGCACCAGACTTTTCAGATCCTTCAGAGCAAGCATTTCCCCGCTTGTTCCAACTTAGGCCTCTTACCTTAGGCCTAGACCCTCCCCGTATTCACACTGATAAATCTTCCACTGTGGTCTACAGTAGTAACACAGCGGTTACTACAGGCTTCTCACAGCAATGTTGAAAAATATCCATCTCATATGACAAAAACTTTAACCTAGAGAAGGGGCAAAGAAAAGACGTGAAAGTTCCCACTACAAGCCTGAGGAACTCTGTTTGCAACTTCTGTCTATTGGGAAGCCATATCATGTGTTGAAATAGTACCCTCCAAACACCACCACTGCCATCCAATAGCTCTGAGAGTTAATCTACCATGGTCAAACCGCTTATCTATCACCTAGATAGGTCAGAACAGCAAGCTTTCCTATGGTGATGGTATATGCTCTTCCATATAGAAAGTGCTTTCATGTTGGTGGCATTTGGCTGAAGTTCTGCAAAGCTTTTTTAGAGAATATCTGTCATCATAAAGCACTAGGCACTTTATTTTACATTACTACATCATTAGCCACGTGACTGAAGAATTAGCAGGCTTGTAAAACTGTAAAGTCAATTAAATGCATCTAACTTTGCAGCCCTAGGGACCTGTGCAATACATTGTTCATACTGGCACATGCTGTGATGTTACCAATTTGAGTGAGGGGGGAAAAAAAATCAGTTTGAAGACCCCTCGTAGAGACTGAGCACTGATGGGACTCATCTTACTTAGCTGTCTAAAAAGTTAGGTCTCTATTTCCAAGATGAGGTGCTATAGTGTTGTAAGCATCACACCTCACAGTACAGGTAAGGCAGAATTAACGGGCGCAAGCAATATCTTTTAATAGAACAACTAATAGAGTTGGGAAAAAATAGGCAAGATTTGAGGCACATTATCCCTTCTTCATATCTGAAATAGAAGCAGCAAACTTCAAAGCTAATGCAGGTTGAGAACAATTGTTCAGAGTTTAGATATGTTAATCAGACCACTTTATACAGAAGATGGTACTTGTGGAGTACACAAGAGAGATTAGTAAGGAGAGGAATAATAAAGAAGTTATCTTGCATGGCAAGAAAAAGAGAGACACATTCAGAAGGGGAGGGGGATCATCTGCAAACCTTCTGTACCCAACAAAGAAGATAAAAATTGCTCCAAAAAGCAATTTATTTCCTCCTAAGGTAGGTGGGATGAATTACCCCCTAGAGAAGCACGTCATTCTCTCTCTGCTGACTACAGCAAAAGCTTGGGCAATTAGCTGAGAGTTGTCACCTAACTTTTGGAAAGAACTGCACTTACTCCTGACAAATCCCACTCTCAGTAAGCAATGAGGCATAAAGAAGCCACGTGCCAATTATAACAGTAATTAGCATTGTAAAGTTCTGGATTGCTTTAAAAAAGTGCTGTCACTGTACCTTTAGCTAGCGGTTCCACAGTGATAATCTCGCTGCTGTTGCCTCTTCCCGCAGCAGTCACTGCTACCACCCAGACACTGTACTGGCGATTCCGGCTCAGGTTGGGGATTCTGTAGGAAAATGAGTCGGGAGAGGCTTCAAACTCGCTGATTACCTGTGGTGGGAGAGACAAATGTTTCCAGACTAAAATAAACAGTATTTGGAGAAAGTCTGCTAAGCTGAGTGCTACAAAGTTTGCTACTTCAGGGTACTTTGAGTATCAGTTGCTCCAAACAGATGGCAGATGGCAACAAACAGAGCAGACACAATAACTTGTTGTAATCAATTTATATTCAGTTAATTTGGGTCTATGTCTTGTTTGCAAATTGTTTTTATTCAGATTAGGACTTTTATGTGTCTGTTTATTTTCACAGGGTTGGATAAACAATTTAAGTGGACATACTTGACAACTTCTTATCATCAATAGTTCTGACGAACCGATTTTATTTCATACAAAACTTTCCCAACAGTGGATTCAGTCCTGCATTTGCTGTGAAACCTGGAGTTTACTACTCGAGATGTGTCTTTGGTCACCTAGAACCGTTATGCTGGTGTTCCTTATCCCTGGGTTTGGTGGCTTATTCCTTCGGTAATGGAGTAAATCAAGAAATAAAACCACATTCTGTAACAGACTGTTCAAACTTCCCTCGAGTCTAGTTTTGTTTAATCACAAAATTACTTCCATTCAAAGAATCCCATCAGAAGGTCATCTCAGCTATTTAACTGCATCAGTAGGGAAGGACAAGCGCTGGAAGAAATGCCAGTTGGGTCTATTCTTGCACTGTCACTCAAGGGCCTCGGCTGCGGGCTGCAGGGAAGCTGACGGGCTGCTATGCAGTGCTTGCTTCTCGGTGAGATGTTCTGCAGCTTGCTCAAAGCAACCTGTGCGAGGAGAGGTATGGAGGAATATATAGGTTCCTCCAGGGGAGGTGGCTTTGTGCCCCTCAGCGCATCCTCTGCAGGAAGCCTGACTCCTTGGCGGAGCAGAAGGGAAACCTCGTCAGCCCTGAACAGTATTACAATGCTCAATACAGCCAGTTTTATTTCTGACACGGGCTTTGTGATTCTTGTATGTAAAAATAGAAGGGTAATGAACCATTAGAATGAATAATACTCACTTCCCCGTACATTACTGAGCATGGTAATGGCTAACTAACACCAGGCTAAAAATAATTAGAACGGTAATGACGTAGAAAAGAAGATTTTACTAGGAATCAGCATTTAAAATAATGCATCAGTGTAATCTAAACTTGATTCAGACTGACAGAAAGTGTGCAAGGAATCTCTTTGATATACAAATATCTGCTGGTGGTAAAGGCCAATTTCATCTGATTAGCATTTCAAAAGGCAGGTTGACCTGAAAGCATTGGCATATATAGCCCTTCAAAGTGAATTCCAAATAACTAAGGGATGCTTCTGAGATATCATTAAACACCTCTCCAGTGTGAACTGGTAGCCAGTTTCAGCTACTGAATGGGTCACTGCATTTCTCTGTTCTTGAGCTGGCACCTCCTATAGCCAGGGGAAGAGAGGAGATCATCTCATCTCACTTTTGAAATTTAGAGTGAAGATATCTGTGTCTAGGCCAGTCACCTTGACTGCCTTCAGAGACCATGCAAAGAAAAGGTAACTTCTAAGGCAAGGTTCTTCTGGCCTCTTGGAGACACAAACATTGCAGCAGGATAAATCACGTTCTCGACGTTATCTATGTTTCCCCACCAACTACAGAAGTGTCGATATAACTAGTCCAGGTATAGGTGCCTGCGCTGAAGGCACCTGAAGTTAATGTGCTTGTTAACTAAAATACTTAACTTCCTATCTTTTATACAAATGTGTGCCTCTATTTGCTTCTACAAAAATACATTCTGTTTCCTCCATGGAGGCTAACTTTTCTGGGGAGACCGGTTTGCTCCAGCTAACAGTTATCTAGGCTCAACACAAGCCCAAAAAGGGACCATGCCGTACTTTCTACCCAGTCTCATTGCTCCTGTCAAAATGCCAAGTCAGTTTGTCCCATTTAGCAAGCGTTTGCCTGGGATTTCACTTCTGATATGAAGAGGTCAGTGCAGGCAGACACTTCTATTATGATGTGAAATATTCCAGCAGGTTTAGAGAACCATCTGTCTTGACATTTACACAAGCATATTGGACAAATGCCCATAGCTTGACAGGCTGGATCTTTGTGAGGTCATACATAAAAATTAATGTATTGATCATGGCATGGGAGGCCGAATTTTAATATTCATGAGGCAGCATTTCCTAGGGTTAATTTGAAAGTCAAACAGGCCAGGCTGTCTCTGGCACTTAGGCTCCACTCATTAATGCAGCTATCTAGCACAAATTATTTCTAAACCCTCTATTAACATGGGATGTGGATACAGCATTTAGGAACAACTAACCGTTACAGACTTCCTTATTGTTAAACTTTAATTCCAGCAAGCATCTATCTGGTTAAATTTACTGTTTTTTCCATGACTCCCATGGCTTATGAAAGGGACATATGGCTGCCTTTGGAAGCCAGTCCTAATGCTGCAGATCTCCTGCTTGAAATGCCTCGCTGCTCTCCTCCCCTCCGCAAGGGCAGAGACTGGGACAGTCAGACAGACAGACACCCTGTATACAACTGCTAAACACAGCTCCGAGAAATCTGCTTTGAGATTTTTCTGTTTGGGATAAGGTGAGCAGCTAAGCAGGAAAGGAAAACCTCAGCTTTGAAGCTACAGCACTGGCACTAAGCACTCCTGCTCTGAGGATCAAAGTTAAAGACAAAACTGAAAAAACAAACAACCCTCCAAAATTCCTCTGGTTGCAATGTGGTCAGCCAGAAGAGCAGGAAAAAATGTCTCAAAACAGAGGAGCTCTCTCTCCCTGGAACTCCAAAGATGGAATAATCACAGAATTAGCTTCTCTAACACCTTTCAAAATGTCTTGTCTTCAATTCATTTCTTTCGCCCACAGAGAACCAGCATCATTCACGCATTTGTAACTGTAGCTATTCCAAATATAAATTCCATTATTCATGGAATTAATTTATTAATTGAATCCTGTAAACGCATCATCACTAAATTAATGATTCTTATTTTCTTAAAACTAACTGCTATAGCCAAAGATTTCGGCTTCTAACTGGTTAACATACACCTTCTGTTCCTCAGCTAACATTCCCTTTTAAACACTTGGGGATGCTCCAGTGATAAAGAATCGATTTTACTTTTAACTTTTGCCTGTCACTTCAATTAGACTAACATGCCAGAGACTTTCATTACACAAGAAGAAAAAAAGGGAGCTTTGTCAGCAAAGAGAAGATTAAACAATTGAAATAAGAAATATTTTAAAGGAATGTCACCTTGTCGTATACTGGTCTTTGCATGTGCCAGTATAAAATATATACTGCTGTTTTAGCCCAAAAGTAGTAACATGCTTGCTCAAAGGATTTTTTCCCCAACTGCTTTTTTTTATTCAGCTTATAGATGATAGGTTAATTTTTCTTCTGTCTTTAGTTCACCGTTTAAGAAGCACAGACAAGGCCAAGTCTCTAAAAAGCCAGTAAAGGCTGTGAAGAATAAAATGAAATCAAAGTCCTTTATCAGGGTGCAGTCAATCCACTTCTCAAACCAGGCAACAGCAAGAGATGCTGAGGAACAGCCACTGCAGGGAGCATCATTTTCCTCTGATGCAACTTCAGCTCTATTGGTATACGTTGCTTTGTAGTTTGCAGCAGTTTGCCATCTCCTGGCATTTCTGACTCCTTTAGAAATCAATTAGATAAGGTAATGTGCATAAACTCTGAACTCTCTGGCTGGTTTTTTGGTTGGTTTGTTTGTTTGCTCTGTTTTTAAACCCAGCCTGGGAAAACTTCAAAAGGATGCTTTCGAAGAAAAATACATTTGTAACAGTCTTCCAAGCAATCAGGGAGTTTCCCAAGCAGGGAGGTAAGGTAACAGGTAGCATTTACTGTGGACTGGAAGATTATTCAGTCAAAACAAGCCTGCACCTTGCCTACAACTGCATCTACACAACTTCTGATGTAAGACAGGTGCACTGAAGATCCCTAGCTCATCATTCTCTGCAAGTTGCAGGAAACTTGGAGGTGAAAAGAGAAAGCCATATGGAGACTTGAAGGACAAGAGCAAAAAGCAAGAAACATCCCAGGTTTGTGGTGTGTGTTGTGAAGTGAAGTCAGAGCATATACAAGTTGGCTACCTGTACACCGGCTGCCTCATCTTGAAAATTCAAAATACATATATATGCTACCTAGAGTGGCATGCGTGTTTTCCCTATGAATTTTGGTATAAAATATGGCCATAGCATGATCTAAAAACAGGGCTGGAAGGACTCTGAGAGTTCACCCCAGTCTATCCTTCTTTTCTGAACCAGGTTCAACTATATCTGCACAATTTCAGACAGATGCTTGTCCAACCTGATTTTGAAGACTTACAATAAATGGAGATTTTGCAACTCCCTCGGCTGCAAGACCTATTCGATTGCTTAACTAATTGTACTATTAGAAAGCTTTCTTGAAATCTAGCTTGAGTTTCCTGCTACAGTTTAAGCCCGTAACTTCTTTTCCAGTCTATTAGGAACATGAAGAATAGATTATTACCTTCATCTTTGCACCAGCCTTTAAGCTACATGAAGTTTTATCATTCCTTTCCCCATCAGTACCCTTATCTTTTTATAACTTAATAACTGTAATGCTTTCAACATTGTCCAGAAATCACATTTTCTCTAACAGTTTCTCTAATAATATCTGTTGTTATCCTTTGGACTCTCTAACAATGGTCCATAGCCTTCTCAAATACAATTGCCAAACCTGTATCCAGCAATCCCAGGGTATGGCATTTGACTTTTCACAACAGGATTATAAAGGTAGCTAACATTCATCTTGGGATGCACAATAACCTTAAAATCCTCTTCTGAAGAAGCTAGCCAATTGCTCTCTACCCACTACTTTAGTAGTTGGTTATTCACAGTACCCATTATCTTGCACTTACCCATACTAAATTTTATCTACCTTTTTCCAGACCAATTTCCCAGTTCATAAAGATCTGTCTGAATTCCAGTTCTGCCTCCAGTGTACTTGCAATCCCTCCCAGCCTTATCTCTTGCAAATTTAAT